GGAAGGAAGGAAGGAAGGAAGGAAGGAAGGAAGGAAGGAAGGAAGGAGTGTAAAATCGGGCTGAACCAAGTGAGATGCTTCCCGCCCTGCCAGGTGTCCTGTTGGTCCTCTGCCCCCTTTCCTGGTGAGGGCAACGGCCATGCTGTTAAGAGGAAGGGGCTTGGGGGTTCTTGTCTGCCTTGGCAAAGCCCCCCACCTCATTGTTGATGTGATGGATCCGTTGCTCCAGGTCTTCCGACTCGGGTCCTGCCACCTTGTGGGCTGCCATGCTGGGATCCCCCTGGACAGCGCAGAGGGAGAGGGAGAGGGAACCCTCGGACGGGAAGGGCCAGCGTCTCCTGCAAAAGAAAATGTGGGGGGAGGTTGCACCAAGGGGAGAAATATCTTTTGGGTGGGTGGGCAGCCCATCCGTGAAATGATCTACCCCACTTTTCCCCAATCTTGGCCATTTTAGGTGAGTGGACTTCAACTTCCAGAATTCCCCAGCTGGCTTAGTGAATTAAAAAATGACCTTATAGCCATGAGGGCTAGAAACCTGCTTAAAAAAAAAAAAAAATCCCAGGCTCCTTGAGTTTTTGTACCAAGCACTAGAAAGTGGGTTGTTGATTTACTTATTACATTTATAAGCCTGCCCATAAATTCCGCCCCCCCAAAAAAGATCCTCAAAGTGAAGCATCCAAGGATTCAAAACAAAATAATGAAAATGCAATGAAAAAGAGCCCTTCATAAACCAAAGTACTGAATTTATGATACCTGTGCATGCATGCATGGATGGATGGATACGCACCCACGCATGCACCCACACAGCCCCTTTCCCTTCCAGTGCCTGGTCTCGCCATCCTCTGCCTGGGAAAAAAAAACCCCACGGTGACACGGAGGGACAGAACTCTTCAGCTGCCACGCCGCTCTTGCTCCACCTCGCAATACCCACTCGGGGGGGGGGGGCGGTTGTTCTATTATATATATATATATATTGTTGCTGTTCCCCACCCCAAGAAGAGGAACTCAACCAGGGAGGACCGCAGCAACACCCCCCGCCCCCGCAGGCAGCCCCTTCCTCCCCGCGCCGGATCCCAAGCGTGTAATTACCGCGTGGGAAAAAGCGCAGCTGTCGCGGGTCGGGAGCCAGGAACAGCCACCCCCAGAGTCCCCCCCCACCCCACAACCTCAGGTCTTCCCCACCTTCTGCTGCCTCCCCCCTCCCCTCCCCCCCCAGAGCATCCCCGGCCCGGCTTTGCAGAACAGGTGTTGCCTTTGTGCGCGGATCTTACGCCAAGAGGCGGAGGAGGGGGAGGCACAGAGCCGACCCCCCCACCTCCCGGCAGCCAAAGATAGCACTTGGGGGGGAGGAAAGGAGGGTCCTCCGGAGAGAAAGAGCCCAGGGATGCCTCCGGAGAACAAAAGCCGGGGCCGCTGTCACTTTCCACAAAGGAGGAGAGGCGGGCGCCGCGTTGCAAAACAGAAAAACGCCCCTTGTTGAAAAACTTCGCTTATTTATAGCTGCGAACTTGGGAAGCTGCCGGTGTCCTTCCCGGAGAAGACAAGGCTTTGCTCCGGGGTGTGGGAAGAGAGGGAGGGGGGCGAGGGGGGGCTCTCTCCCATCTGCTACCTTCCATAAGCAACCTTGTGGGGGTACCAACCCCCCCCCTTTTTTTTTGACAGTTCTTCCACCTCTTGCAACAAGCTGGGCTCAGATCAGTTTGCAAATCAAAACTAAGTTCTGGCAAGGAGGGGACAGCAAAGGGGCCCACTCGGGAGGGGCATCCTTCATGGGGGGTGGGGGGGCATGCCCCACAGTTGTTAAGTGGTTTTTGTCCCGTTTTATGACCTTCCCTGCCACCGTTCTTAAGCGAATCCCTGCCGCTGTTAAAGTTACAAACACAGTTGAAAAGTGAATCCAGCTTCCCCACGAAGTCAGCTAGTCAGACGGTCGCAAAAGGGGACCACCTGACCCCGGGACACTGCGACTGTCATAAATACGAGTCAGTGGCCAAACATCTGAACATTTTGATCACATGACCAGGGGGATGCCACAACTGTCATACAGTAAGTGTGAAAAATGGGCGTAAGTCACTTTTTGCAGTGCTGTTGTAACTTTGAATGGTCACTAAATGAACTGTCGTAAGTCGAGAACCACCTGTATATAGACAGAGTAACTTTTCCAAGGCCCTCCTGGCTGCTCTACCAAAGTCTAGACTAGGCTTGGCTTGACTGCTGCTTCTTTTCCCTGGATGGTTATCCTAAAGAGCAGAAGCTTCCAGATTTTTTATTGTGAATTCCAAGGCTGCTTGTTCTACCCTAAAGGACCTGCAAGAAATGTATACAGGCAGTCCTTGACTTATAACCATTCATTTAGTGACGGTCCTTATTTCTGAGAAAAGTGACTTATGATCGGTCCTCACACTTATGACCTGTCGCAGCATTCCCCACCGTCATATGATCAAAATTCGGGCACTTGGCAACCGGCATGGATTTACATCTTGGGGTCACGTGATCTCCATTTGGTGACCTTCCCAGCAGACATCTGACCAGCAGAGGCAATGAGAGAAGCTGGATTCGCTTAACAGCCACATAACTCGCTTCAAAACTCCAGCGTTTCGCTTAAGAGCTATGACCAAAAAGGTCGTAAAATCAGGCCCAGAATGGAAATTCTGGTTTTAACTGTGGTCATCCCAGAGGGGCTTTTTTCAAGAGGCAACTGGGCTTTCTGATTTTTTCTTTGAAGATGTTTCGCTTCTCATCCAAGAAGCTTCTTCAGCTCTGAATAAAGAATTCCATTCCCCACCATTCAGTCAGAGCTGAAGAAGCTTCTTGGATGAGAAGCAAAACATCTTCAAAGAAAAAAACAGAAAGTCCAGTTGCCTCTTGAAAAAAGCCCCTCTGGGACAACTGTGACCTGGATGATGGAGAATCTCCATAGACAAATTGTGGTCACAACTCAAGGACTGCCTGGCTGCCTGCCTACCTGCTAAGAAACAGCAGATTGTGGGGATCTGGCACTCCGAATGTCAGTTGATCCCTTTCCAGCAACTTTGCCCCACTCAAAATTTTCCTCTCGGCTACTCAGAGTCATCCTGTCATCCTTCTCCACTTTTCTACCTTCAAAGGAATAAAAAAACGGGAAATTGCAAATGTCTCAGAAACGGCCTTTTAAAGCTGCCAGCAGACAAAGACGGGGGGGGGGGAGCCCCCTCCCCTGAAAACCCTCTCTTTCTTTCCCGTTTTGGACACGTTTTGAGCCCCCCCCCCCCAGAAGAAACACAAAAGGAAATTGATCAAAAGCGGTGATCCCACCCCCGTCTTCCATCGAAGCAACGCAAGGTTTTGAAAAGGTTTTTCCCCCCCTAGATGTGCCTGGATTAAATTGGGGCCACCAAAGAAAGTCTTCAGAGGATGACTGTCCTTCCCAGACTCGGTGGGGACGGCCGCGTGTTTTGGCCATTATTTTAAACAAAAAAGAGACGTCTGTTTCACGCGCACCCAGGACATCCGCTTAATTGAGCTGTTGAGAGTGACTCAGGCCGAGGAACGTTTTGACTTGCTGTAAAATGGAAAAGGGGCTGTGTGGGGGGAGCGGAGAGGGAAGAGGAGGGTCCTTCGAGTACCGTGACATAAAGGTTTCCTTTCCTTCTTGTCTTTGTTCAGTTTAGGAGCCCACACAGGGTTGTCACGGCTTCCCAAGAGCCCCTCACAAAGCTATTTCATCACGCAATCCACCACAACAACCCTGTCAGGTAGGCTGAACTGAGAGAGAAGGATCGGCGTAAAATCACCTGATGAGTTTTCATAGCTGGGGTAGACTTGAACCTGGGTCTGCTCAGATTAGTCCAACTTCTGCACCACAACACCACGGTGGTTGCCAAGCATCTCAACATGCTATCTGTCTGTCTATCATTTTTCTCTCTTTCTATCATCTCTCTCTCTCCTCTCCTCTCTTTCTCGCTCCTATCTTTGTCTGTCTCTGTCTGTCTATATCTACTGTGTTTCCCTGAAAATAAGACCCTGTCTTATATTTTTTTGAACCCTGAAATAAGCGCTTGGCCTTATTACCATGCGTTCAAAAGCCCGATTGGGCTTATTATCAGGGGAGGTCTTATTTTGGGGAAAACAGGATATCTCTCTATCTATCAGTTATCTATATCTATCTTTCTATCTCTATTTCTAACTGCTATCTCTCACTCTCTTCTATCTATCTATCTATCTATCTATCTATCTATCTACCTACCTACCTACCTACCTACCTACCATTATCTAATCTATATCTATTATCCCTCCATTATCTCTGTCTGTCTCTATCTCTTTATCAACTATTATCTATTATCTATGTCTCTGTCTATATCTAACATTTATCTATTGCTATATCTATCATGTATCATCTATCATCTATTATCTGGGTCTGTCTATCTATCTATCTATCTATCTATCTATCTATCTATCATCATCTATCTATCTAATCTATCATCTCTATGTATCATCTGTATCTTTATATCTATTACAGTATCTATCTCTCCATAATCTATCATCTCTCTACCTACCTACCTACCTATCATGTATCTCTATCTAGCTATCTAGCTATGTATGTATCAACCTACTTACCTATCTATCTATCTATCATCTATCTATCTATCTATCTATCTATCTATCTAATCTATAATCTCTATGTATCATCTCTCTATATATCTATTATCTATCTCTCCATCATTTATCATCTATCTATCATCTATCCACCTACCTGCCTACATATCTATCATCTATTTCTATCTAGCTATCTAGCTATCTAGCTATCTAGCTGTCTCTATCAATCTATCTATCTATCTATCTATCTATCTATCTATCTATCTATCTATCTATCTATCTCTATCATCTATCACACCGCTCAACTCACTCTGCAAAGTGACTCTGAGCAGTTTGGGTTCATTCCATCATTGTTTAATAATGTGCTTTCGTCTCCATGAACTTGTCCAGATGCCCTCAGCCTGCAGAACTAGGATGATAGCCGACCCCAACCGTCCCTGCAGCTTGGCTCAATCCGCATGGGACAAACTACTTTATTGCCTTCCAACTCATAGCTTAATTCTATTCCATCCTTTTTGGGTGGTGCAGAGTTGGTTTTTGGAGGTTCTTTTTTTTCCCTTTTGCATCAGAGAGATGCATTTGAACTGAGAGCATTCCCTGTCTAATTATACCCCCAACTCGTGAAAATGTATGCCATGAATCCAGAAGGGTCCAAAGTATAACGAGAATGTGCTAACTTCGTTACCGGCACCATCTGTTTAAGAGGCCTCTTTGCAAAGATCAGCTGAAGCATCTTGAAATCAAGAAAGCATAAGAAGGAAAGAGCCCGTATTTGCAAGGGAGCAGGCTGATACGCCACAGGTTGACCTTTCAAACCAAACCTACAGTACCCTCTGCAACTGGAATCTCCAAGTCTAGAACAGAAAAGTGAGAATTGCGAGGAAAGGGGGAAAAGCCGAAAGCCGAAAGTTGAAAGACAAACCAGGGACATGAATTTGATTTCAAGCAAGAAAACAGGGGTCGAACCCTTAAATACCAATTCTTCTCAAGGAGACACCCGGGAGAAAAGTTTAACCAACTTATCCAGCTGTGGGGCTGGGTAGACCAGATGTATCCCCACCCTTCACATATGGAAAAACCTAGAAAAAGCAGCTGCACAGAAAGACCCTCCAAAGAGACACGGATCCGTCTCCATCCCACCTCCAGACTGGCTCCTCTGGGGAAAAACAAAATTGGCAAGCTTCCTGTAGGAAGTTCCTGGGCTACACATTGCAAGTACATGAAAAAAACAAACAAACTCTGGGCTCTTATTTTGGGGTCTCCATGAAGCTGGAGAGGTGGGGGTAATGCGAGGCATCGGGAGGGCGCCAAGTTGAAGATGGCAGCTCTGTGTCTTCACTATCTGGCTGGTTCCTTCTCCAAACAACCTTGCACACACACACAGAGGGACACACACTTCCCCGGTTCCCGAAAGCTGTCGTGCTGGGCTGCCACACAGCTCAAAAGGCTCACGAAGAACTGTCCATCTTCCCAGGCACCTCCTGGTTTTGACTCTTCCTGGCAATTTTTTTTTCCCTGGCAAATTCACTTTTTCAACCACAGAGCTCCGAACCCTTTGCAATTTGCCAACCGGTCCTGTTGAGAGGAGTAAACAACAGGTTGCCGGAGAAGTCGGAGAACTCCTTTGGCTGCCTCTGACGCATCACAGAAAGAGGCTTGCAAGGGATCTGGGATCAGGCAGCAGCTCCCCCCCAAAATTGGAGTTTGTCCGCAGGGGAAAACCCAGGAACACCAGATCAGCTTTACATCAAGTTCAGCATCCAGGGAAAATTGGCAAGGATACTTGTGGCAAAGATTGACTTTCCTAAAGGTCCTTCCATCCATTGGGGTCTCCTTCTGCAGCCCACCACCACCTTGATATCCGCCCCACCCACCCACCCCCCATTGCCCCCATCCCCACATACCTCTTCCTGCTTCGCTGCCTTTCTCCTGCTCTCTGTTCACCCCAAGCTTCATCCAGAAAGGAGCCACGCCTTCCCATCCAAGATCAAGGCAGCCTGGCTCCCGCCTCTGGAGGGAGACCATTGGGCAGGGACCCTGAAAGGCAGCCGGTGGAATCTCCCCATTGGCTGCCTGGTTGGGAAAAAAGAAAGGGTGGGGCAGGGCTAGAGCTGGTACCCTCTCCTTCCCTCCCTCCAGGGGATGCTGTTGCCAAGGGCAACCCGATGAGAGGCCAGGAGGATGGAGATGGCAAGTTGGTGCCGTCACCTGAGGAACTCTGAGGCTGACACAATGAACTTTAAGCCCCCAGGGACCCTTCCTCCAGCATGAGGCATGTAGAGCCGGAGGGTTAGGGGGTCAGGTTGGGGGTGGCAGGCCTGTGAACTTTGGCCGGTCTTAATGCTGGGCCGAGATTTTGATACGTCCTGGGCTTTTTGGCACAGTAACCTGGCAATTTGGACATCTCTGTAACCCGGGGCAACTGGAACCTCTTGGTTACCCAGCAGATGTCTTGGTAACCACGGCAACCGCAACATCTTTGGGTAATTGGGCACCGCAGCTTGATAACTTCCAGTTTGGCAAAAGCCAAAGACTGTCCAGGTTCCCCCTGAGGAACAAAAGAGAAGGCAGAAGAAGAAGAATGGCAGTCTATCTGAAAAGGGAATTTGGACAAAACAGAACAACAGTTCTGTTTTGACCTTGGAGGCTTTCTAGTCCAACCCTCTGCTCGAGCAGGAGATCCTATCCCAGAGGCGTCCAACCTTAGCAACTTCTGACATCCCTGCCCTATGCCATTCCGGACAAATGCTTCTCCAACCTCTTCTTGAAAACCTCCAGTGATGGAGCTCCCACAACTTCTGGAGGCAGGACGTTCCACTGGTTAATTGTCCTTGCTGTCAGGAAATTTTTTTTTAGTTCTTGGCTGGTAGGTAACCTTTTCCCTACTCCAGACCAATGGCTCTGTGGTCTTCTCACTTTTCTTCAGTATTCATCCGTTTCACCAAAAACGCAGAACAAGTGCCAACATGGGATCCCCATGGAGAAAATGTCAGAAGACGACTCAAGAAAGTGAGACAAGTTACATTTGATTCAAAATCCCAAGGGCATCCCTCTCTGCGGCTCCCCCTTAAATCTCTGGGAAAAACCTGCTTGTTTGGCCTCAAAGAGAAATCAGGGAAGCCAAGCGTTCTTTTCTCCAGATGAATATTTAGCACTTGCTGTGTTCTCTTGTGTTTGTGAAAGCAATACAAACAAGGAATAAATTAATTTCAGAAAAAGTGGGAGGTGTATGTTGTTGGGTGCCAGTGGAATAAATTCACTGTGGATTGGGGGGGTGGGGTGTTTTGAATACGTAGTTGGCTACTCACAACACATATATAGCTGCAAATGTCAGTCTCATCTTGCCTACATCGTGGCTGCAAAAAATGTATTGCGGGAATCTGGCTTTATTTGGAGAGACAGCGATTCAAAGGTGAGATCCATTCCCTGCCAAGGAAACATCATTGTGTGACAACCCAGATTAAAATCCAGGCTGATTTCTTGTTATGCAACTTTTATTACTGTTTCTACTGAACTCTCCAAAAACAGAGTGGGTGTCAGAGACACCGAAGACAGCTGGCACACTTGCAGGCAAACCCCATCACCGAAGCCTGGAGGCGTGGATGATGGTGGGGGGAAAAAACTTGTCAAAAGATACCACTCGGGGTCTGATGGAAGAAAAACATTGCTTGTGGGGAGCTTTCTTTGCAAGAAAACACCAAGCACACCTAGCCTCGGCTGTCACCTGCAGCCCATTTTCATCCTTGGTTTCAAAAATCCCCTGGGAGGATATTTTATTCTCGCAGGTGGTTCTCAAACAGGGTGGAACACAAAACAAACACACCCACAAAAACACACACTCACACACACAGAGGGAGACAAGGGCAGGATAGAGGAGAAGGCTGCTTTTCAAACAGTCTTGGTATTCCAGCAGAAAACTCTCATCCAATGTTTTGTGGTCATTTTATTCTAGGCAGAGAATCCCTTTGTGATGTCCTGGAGCCTGAAACCCAAATGCAGATGCACCGCTCTGCAGGGAGCTATCGAATTCTCTTACAAGACCTCACCCCCACCTCTCCTCATGTGGCTCGTGCTCTCCTCCTCCGCGGCTGTTCTTGTAAGGATTATTTGGTTTGTTATTATTACTTTTATAATTTTTACATTTATCAGTTTCTAATGTTTGTAAGCTGCCCAGAAGTTGCCTCTAGATGAGACAGGTGACAAACAAATCAGATAGATAGATAGATAGAAGAGAGAGAGAGAGAGAGAGAGAGAGAGAGAGAAAGAAAGAAAGAAAGAGAGAGAGAAAGAAAGAAAGAGAGAGATAAATAGATATAGAGATAGATAACCGGTAAATAGGTAGGTAGATATAACCGATATAGACAAACATACACACACTCATAGAGCTATAGGGATATATGGTAGATAGATGATAGGTAGATAGATAGGACAGATGGATATCATTTCCCACCTTAAGCCCTCCAGACCCCCTCCCAGTCCCTTCCACACTCCAATCATTTTCAAATCCCTTCCGTTTCTCCCAGCCAAGGAGAGTCACGGCCACCTTCCACTGACTCAAAGCTAGTCCAGACTTCGGCCAGGGTGACTCATCGGCAGAGGCAGCACATCCATCAAAGGAGACAGCGATGTCCCCAAGATAGGACGAATGGGCCGTTGCCCCTCCTTACAACCCCGTCGATCCGTCTGCAGACCGAAACCGGGGCTTGAGCCCTGCTGGAAAACCGGCCCTCCCTGGGCTCCGAAGAAGCAAGGTAAAGAAGGCCCTTCAAATGTGGGGCCTTGGTGCTCTCTGAGTTTGGTGGCTTTCCTGCTTATCAACTAGGAAGCTTCTTCAGTTGGTTCGATGCTTTTTCTTAGCACTGATGGAGTTATCTAGTTGGGTCATGAAGTGTCTGCAAGGAAACCACCAAGCTCAGAGAGCATCAAGGACCCCACTGTCCTCCCCTCTCCCCCCTCCTAGCATTGATAATATTATCTAGTTGTGTGATGAAATGTCTGCAAGAAAATCAAGCTCAGGCACCACCAACAACCCCACAATTCTCCTTCTGCATACTCCACTCCCTCCTAAGACTGATGAAGTTCTCTAGTTGGGTCATAAAACGTCTGCAAGGAAAGAACCCAGTTCAGAGTACCAAGGACCCCATAATCCTCCTCCTCCCTTCTAACACTGTCGAAATTCTCTAGTTGGGTCATGAAGTTCATACAGCTTTCAGCATCGAAGGCCGAGTAACATTGCAGGGACATGAAAATAGAGCGTAACTTCCCTCTGCTGGAGAAAGCGCTGAGCAAACAAGACAACAGAGGCACACGGATTCTTCTTATTATGCAACATTTACTCCTGTTGCTAATGAGCTATTAGAAAACTGAGCATACAGTCGGAGGCAGCCTCTAACCCTGGGAGCCTTTGGAGTGGGGGTGGGGGACGGGACAGAAAAAGATCTGCCAGCAGTTCAAAAGAGAGAACATCACCCCACTTAGAGATTGCAAATTATTCATCACAATATATATTTTTTTTCCCCATCTGAGCAAATTCTCTCTTTTGAGCCAGCAAAATCTTTTGCCAGAATTGGGGGATATTTGCAAAAGGACTATTTGCAAAAGCTCGCCCCCACACCGCCCCAAATCTCCTCACATTTCTTAATTTTAGGCAGAGGAAAGAAAATATCATTCATGACAATTTCAAGCCAAGGATGGGTCTTTCGAGAAGCTCAATCCAGAAAAAATTGGGGGAAAGATTTTCCAGCTTCAAGAGCCTCTAAGGTTATTCTGGGTCCTTCTCAGCCCTTCCCCCAAAAAAGGGAAGAAACCAGAATTTATAAACCCACAATATCAAACATTTCATAATCTGACAGGGTTTCACCCACACCCCCAACACATTTTAAAGGAAACCAATCCTAGAAATACTTCCTATAAAATTTGGAGCTCTCCTTCATATACTTTAGACGGGCGTGTCAGATCTTGACAACTTTTAACACCTGTGGATTTCTTCAACTCCCAGAATTTTGGGAGTTGAAGTCCACAGGTCTTAAAAGCTGCCAAGGTTGGCCAGCCCTGCTTTTACAGACCTTCAAAATTCATGCATAGAATTGGCACGTGACAAAAGTGCATTGCTGAGAAATTTGCATGGTGCAGCCACAGTGTGTGCATTAAAGATGCTTTTTTTTAAAAAAAAAATAGAATTCAAAAGCCAACTTTGAAGATCCTGAGCCAGGCTTCTATTGACAGCCTGAGAGAAAAAAAAAAGGACAAGCTGTCATATATCCGGAATACTGAAGTTGCTTCAGCGTTGGTTCTCTAAGCTGCTAAATTATTGCTTTTTTAAGCCATATCCAGGCAGAGCGCGTTGGGGATTTTGAAAGGAAAGGGGGAAGCAGTTTCTTTTGGGGAGGGGGGGTTGAGAAGAGGTAGGCAATGACCATCGAGCTCACCTCATCTGGGTTCCTAGTGCTCCTGGTTGGGAAAATGCGAATTATGAAGGTGGCTGTGCATCCAGATGATCGTCACCAGCTCACAGTGTCCGTAAAGAAATTACTTTGGCCCCCATTTGCAAAATCCCCTACACACTCCCTCCCTCCCATATATACAAGGGATCTGGTTTTGCAAGGAACTGGTGCTCCATAAGCCGATCTCTCCATCACACGGTTCTTACAAAATGAAACTTACAAAAAACAAAAACCCTATCAAATCTGCATGGCAACATTCGGACTTCCAAGCCAGTTGGGAGGGAAAGGGAGCTTTCTCTTTCAAGAGGCACCTCCCACCACCCACCACCCACCCCCGGCCATCCCCACTCCTGGAGCTTTGAAAAGGCAGCAGCATAGCAAGTGAAGAGCCAATGCAAAAAAACAGCTGTGGCTTTTACAACAGGGATTAAAAATTGCAATGGAAAACAAGAGTAAAAACAGGAAGTTTCTTTGTCTGGCTTTCAGGAAAGGAAGCCGAACTGCAGAATAGCATCTCCTTAGATTTTCTCACGCCGAAGGGAGATCTGCCAATAGGTAACGCCGAACTCTACATCACTCCAGGACAGAATTGGGGGTGGTAGAGGAAAGTGGGGGGTTCTTGCTGGCGGCCGGTGGCTCTTAGGAGTACATGGTGAGCTGCAGCCACTGTACCAAAAAAAAAAAAAAGGAGAGAGAGAGAGACTTTTCACTTTCCAGATCCTCTCCAAGTTTCTAGTCCTCATGTTTTGCTCCTCCCTGTTCCTTCTTTCCTCTTTGCATCCCTCTATTACAGGGGTCGCCAAACTTGGCAACTTTAAGACTTGTGAGCTTCAACTCCCAGAATTCCCCAGCCAGCCATGTGCCAATGGCATAAAAACGTTCTCATTTATTTACTTATTAAATTTCTGTGCCATCCATCTCCTCTACAAGATGACTCTGGAGAGAAGAAGAAAGAAAGAAAGAAAGAAAGAAAGAAAGAGAGAGAGAAAGAAAAAAGAGAGAAAGAAGAAAAAAAGAAAAAGAGAAAGAAAGAGAGAAAGAAAGAGAGAAGAAAGAGAGAGAGAGAGAGAAAGAGAAGAAAGAAGTAGAAGAGAAGGAGAAAAGAGAGAGAGAGAGAAAGAAGTAGAAGAAGGAAGGAAGGAAGAAGTAAAGAAAGAGAAAGAAAAAGAAAGTGAAAGAAAGAAAGAAAGAAAAGAAGAAGGAAAAGGAAGGAAGGAAGGAAGGAGGAAGGAGGAAGGAAGGAAGGAGGAAGGAAGGAGGAAGGAAGGGAAGGAAGGAAGGACACCCTGGTCTAAATTATGCAAAGAAAGAGGTGGGGTGGGAAGTGGGGAGGGCATAATCCTACTTCCTGGAGCCCTTCCCTTCAAAATTGCCTCTGACATCTCCTGACCCATTTTGGTACTTGCTGAAAACTCTTATGCAATGCACACTGCAGCTCGAACCGAGCGAGAGCCAAGGCTCTTTCTCACCTCCTTCAGAGTCACACGGATTTGCCCGCTGCCATCTCGGTCCAAAGATTTGAAGGCACCTAAAAGAGAGAAAGCTTGTGTTGGGCAATTGCCAGCTAGGCTGAAAGAGGGAGGGGGGATCAAGAGCGGGCTCAGCCTCGAGTCCTTGCATAGCCGCAAGAGGCACGAACATGACCGCTCCCATTAGATCCAGGAAGCCTTATCTGGCCGTTCCAGGGGAAGGAGAGGTGTTTGGGAAGATTCTTGTAATATAGGCAGAGAACAATAAAGCTGCTTGCATTACCTATTTATAAGTGGCTCTGTTTGCTTGCGCCTGACACCCAGGGATGAATCGGGCAGAGTAGCAGAAGGGAGGCACATCCTCTGCCCCTCTTCAGAGGTGTGGCACTCTGACTTCCATAATCCCCTGCCTACCACCAAAGCCCACCCTGGTTGGAGATTCAGGGTGCTGAAGTATAGCAACCAAGATAGGCCAGAATAACAGAGTTGGAAGGGACCTTGGAGGTCTTCTAGTCCAACCCCCTGCTGAAGCAGGAGACCCTATCCCATTCCGGATAAATGAGTGTCCAGTCTGTTCTTAAAAACCTCCGGTGATGGAGCAGCCACAACTTCTGGAGGCAAATCGTTCCACTGGCTAATTGTTCTAATTATCAGGAAATTTCTCCTTAGTTCCAGGTTGCTTCTCTCTCTGATTAGCTCCATCGATTGCTTCTTATTCTGCTTTCAGGTGCCTTGGAGAGTAGGCTGACCCCCTCTTCACTGTGGAAGCCCCTCAAATACCAGAATACTGCTATCATGCCATTCCTAGTCCTTCAGATCTGGTTATAGCACAGAGCTAGGAATATAGAGCTTTGACTCATGATGTTGGATTCTTAAAACTTAGAACACAGAACAATAGAGTTGGAAGGGACCTTGGAGGTCATCTAATCCAACCCCCTCCTCAGGCAGGAGACCCAATATCATTTCAGACAAATGGCTGTCCAATCTCTTCTTTAAAATCTCCAGTGTTGGAGCACCCACAACTTCTGAAGACAAGCCATTCCGTCGGTTAATTATTCTCACAATTAAATAAATTTCTCCTTAATTCCAGGTTGCTTCTCTCCTTGATTACTTTCCATCCGTTGCTTCTTGTCCTGCCTTCTGGGGCTTTGGAGAATAGCTTGACCCCCAGTTCTTTGGGGCAGCCCTTTAAATATTGGAGGACTGCTTTTATGTCAGCCCCTCTAACTGGCACTCTCTGGTTGGGGGAGCCTCAGGTGAGGCTGGCTGACCATGGGGCAGGAAGCAGAGACCGCAGCTGGGGGAGAAGCTGTCCCAGTGGCATCTGAGCTAGGGTCCCCTTCGGCCCCACGGAGGAAGAGAGAAGAAGGGACGCAGCAAGGGCGCCAATGGGCACAGCTGTCCCCGCCACTTACGGAACATGGCATCCAGGCGCACCAGACAGCTGATGAAGTTGTCGAAATCCATGTTCCCGCTCTCGTCTGAGTACCTGCGCACAATCATGGCGTAGAGCTGTTCGTTGAGATGAAAGCCTGGAGAAAAATGGGGGTTGGGTAGAGAGAAGGAAGCATAAGAAGCTGGAATGTATTTATAGATAGCCCTCGACTTTAACAGATTAACAGAGTTGGAAGGGACCTTGCAGGTCATCTAGTCCAACCCCCCATCCAAGCAGGAGACCCTACACCATTTATGACAGATGGCAGTCAAATCTCTTCTTGAAAGCCTCCAGGGATGATTTGTGACCATAATTGACCCAAAATTTCTGTTGGTAAGTGAGACATTTGTTCAGTGAGCTTTGCTCCATTTTACGATCTTTCTGGCCACAGTTGTTAAGTGAATCCCTGCAATTGTTCAGTTAGTAACATGGATGTTAAGTGAATCTGGCTTCCCCTTTGACTTGTTGTCAGTAGGTCGTAAAAGGGGATCCTGTGACCCAGGGACACATCCATCATAAATAGGAGCCAGTTGTCCAGCGTCCGAATTTGGATCACATGGCCATGAATGGATGCTGCAACGGTCCTAAGTGTGAAAGTCCCAAGTCTCTTTTTTTTTTTCAGCACTGTTTTAACTTCGAACGGTCACTAAATGAACTGTTTAGGGACTATGTGCTATCTTGAAGTTTTGGTTTTCTGGACTGGGGCATTGAGTCAGCCGTTAAAAAATTAAAACCTACTCAAGAAACAGCTGTTTTTTCTTTTTCTTTTTCAATTTGTACAGTCACTTGTCTGAGATGGTCTAGGCAGGGGGCTGGACTAGAAGATCTCCAAGATCCCTTTCAACTCTGGTATTCTATTCTGTTCTGTCCCCGTTCTATTCTATTCTATTTCTATTCTCTATATTTTATAATTCTGTATTCTATTTTCTATATTTTTCTATTCTCTCCTCCCTCTCCCCTCCCCTCCCCTCCCCTCCCTCTCCTCTCCTATTCTATTCTTCTATTCTATTTTAATTTTAAGGATCAGAATGGGGGCCTTGGAAGAATTGGCACCTGGTTCTGATCCCGCTGCTCACCTGCGGCCTCAAAAGCTCCTGGCAGTTCTCTGCTGCCAATGGTGCCGGATCGGTCAGCATCGTATTGCTTGTAGATGCACTGAGGGCGAGAAGGGAAGACGAGATGCAGGTCAGCTCCTGGCCAGGAGGTGGAAAGGGTCCTTTGGCCAGCGAGACCCAAGGGCCAGACCCCGGCTGCTTCCTAAGAAGGGGAAGCAAATTCGCTACCTGCCACTTCTTGACGTTGGTCCAGAGATACTTGAATTCCTCAAAGCCCAGCTTGCCTGTGGTGTCACTCTGGAGGGAGCATCATCAAGGAAAACCTGAAGGATGCAGAGGGCCTAGGACAATTTTTTGGACCAGGAAAATGTTCTCCAGATACAAGGATTCTGCCCCACAGCACAGCCATGGTGGCTGGGAACAATAGAGTTGTAAACAGGGACCAGGCGTCAGGCTAGAAACGGGAGATGGTGAGTTCTAGTCCTGCCTTAGGGGTGAAAGCCAACTGGGTAACTTTGAGCCAATCACCCTGATGCCATGAGTTTAGTCACACATTAGCAAGAAACTTGGCTGGGTGATTTGAGGCCAATCACCAGGAGACACTAGCCAATGAGTGGGTGTGACTTTGGACAATCACGGAGGCCATGAGTTCTAGTCATGCCTTAGCCAAGAAACTTGACTGGGTAATTTTGGGTCAATCACCAGGAGGTTGGGAGTTCTAGTGTTACCTCAGGCATGAAAGCCAGCTAGGTGACTTTGAGCCAATCCCTCCTTTTCAATCCATCTCACCTCACAGGGTTGTAGTTATGGAGAAAACAGAAGGAGGAAGGAATATTAAATATGTTCACCGCCTTGAGTTATTTATAAAAATAATAAAGGTGGGATTAAAAACTCAGCACGAATGGGTGTGCCAGGTTGGAGAAAGGTGAGTCAAAGACCAGCCGAGACCCAGAACTCTAGAAAATCAAGGGGAAGAGGGAAGGGTTTTTGTGTGTGTGGGGGGGGGGAGGGCAGGAGGTAGGAGAAGGTGGGCTCCTGGGCACCAGGACCAGCATTTGAGAATCAACTTCCTTGGGGGGGGTGTCATCTTGGCCACATTTCACCCCTTCAGAGGGTCCCTCCTACCTTAGATTTTTAAAATTTATTTAAGTATTTCTATGGCCACCCAGCTCACTCTCAGTGACTCCAGATGGGTGTATGAAGATTAAAAAACATATAAAAAAAATAAAAAGTGATAATCCCCCCAACTCTCTGTCTTGTTTTGTTTTTTTTGCAGGAAAAACAACAAGGGAAAGGAGAAAGAGAAGGGAATCAGAAAGGGAAGGAGAGAGATGGGGGGGTGTCTCCCCAACCCACTAGTCCAGCCTCTTTAAGAAGCCCCCTCCCCCAGCACCGGGCCAACTGCAAAAGGTTACATCCATCACAGCCACCATGGAACGACAGGTGTCAATCCCAAACCCATCGGTCTTCAAATCCGGATCTGAAAAAGAGAGAAAATTTGGCTGAGACTTGTGAGCTTCTTCTCTCAGTGGTACCCCACTTGGGAGAGGAAGAATTGATTGGGATCAGGGGAGCAACCATGATTTGCCTTCTTGGGGGGCTTGAGTATTTCCCCACTGGTCCTTGCAGCTGTAGACAGGGAGGGGGTCTGCAGTAGAAGAGAGTATTTGTAACTCAGGGTTGAACTGTGGGGTCCTTGGTGCTCTCTGAGCTTGGTGGTTTCATGTAGACATTTCTTGACCCAACTATGTAACATTATCAATGCTAGGAAGGGAGGAGGAGGAGGAGAGCTATGGGATTCTTGGTGTTCTCTGAAGTTGGATACTTTTTTTGCAGGTTTCATGATCCAACTAGGTAACATTATCAATGCTAGAGGGGAGTAAAGTTTGCAAAGAGGAGGAGCTTGCTGCTTCTCGAGCTTGATGGTTTTCTGCAGCACTGATCAATGTTACCTAGTTTGGTAATGAAATGTTGCTTTCATTCTCAGAGAACTGCAACTCCTGATGTAGAACTTTTTGGGGGGGAAATATAGGTGGCAACCCCCCCCAGGTCTGAGTCTCTGGGGAGCCTCTAAAAAGGAGTTTTTTTACTTACGTCTAGTCACTACTTTGTTCAGGATGTTCATCAGCTCCGTTGCGCTTACTTCCATGTCCTACAAAAAGAGAAGGCTGGCTTAGAAGGAGCAGGGTCTTCTAAAGGGGAGGGGTCTCCAACCTTGGCCACTTTAAGACTTGTGGACTTCAACTCCCAGAGTTCCTCAGCCAGCTTTGTTCTGTTCTAAAGGGGAGGGGGTCAGAATAGGTATTGTGGCCACCATTTTGACTTTTTTGACTTTTCCCCCAGCACACCATGATCAGGAGAGCAAGGGCCTTTATTTTTTTATTTTTTTTTGAAGCCACAGATCCGAGTTATGGGTTGAGCAGCCTAACAAAAGGATGTCAATCTGAGATCTTCTATGATTCAAAGCAGGTAGATCCAAGAAGGAAAAAAAAATTATTTAGATTTCAATACATCCCACTTCCTTTGCTTTTTTGGGAAATATCTGAGAACAGCTTTTTTAGGGGACCTTTTGAATTGTGACTTTTGCTGTATGTTCCAGATAGTCCTTGATTTATGAGCCACAATAGAGCCCCCAGTTTCCATTGCTAAGCCCCCCCCTTATACTCACATCTCCGGCCAGTTGGGTGAAGAGTCTTCGGAACTGCCGGACTTCCTCACTCTCATTGGCTTCGATGTTGGAAAAATGGCTACGAGGGGGCTGGAGAAGAAGAAAGGATGCGAGAGACCCCCATTAAAAGAGGAGGACAAGAAACCCCTAAATAAGCTGCAATGGGTCAGGCAGGGCAGGCTCTGAGCTCGGGTGTTTTCCTGCAGACATCTTGTTGCCGAGCTAGGTAATAACATCCATGCCTGGGGGAGTGAAGGTTTAAATATAGTAGCTTGCCCTGCCAGTCTTGGCTGGGAAGTGGGTGTTCTCCCTTGAGAGTTTGCTGAATAAAATATATATTTTTTCTTCTCAGATTGTTCAACTGGATATTGCTTGCTGGGGTGATAAGAGGCAGAAGAGTTTGCAGCTGCATAGAAGAGACCCTCCCTCATTTATTGGGTTCACTGGGAGGAAGGGGAAGGGGAAGGAAAGGAAAAGGAAGAAATGGAGGGAGGAAAGAGAAGGAAGGAAGGAAGGAAGGAAGGAAGGAGGAAGGAAGGAAGGAAGGAAGGAAGAAAGGAGCCAAGTCAAATAAAGACAGAGCCCTTCAACAAGGTGAGAAGAGCTGGAGGGGCTTACCGGAGGCTCTGGGTTATACTGGGCTGCTGCTTCACTGGCAGGTAGGAAGGCATGAAAAATAAAGAGAGAAATTCAGAGAAATCTCCTTTCTCATTTGTAGACAAACAGGCTATGCAGAATGGCTACAACCCCCCTTCCATCCAACAAAGCTGTTCAGAGCTGAATTGCAAGCTCCTCTTGCACCCCCAGAACAAAAGCAATTGGTTCTTGTGCTTTACACACACAGAATATATGCAGCTGCCTTAACATGAAAAGTTTCTTGCAGTTGTTGCATCCAGACACACAGTTTACTGATATCACTAATTTATTCTACTAACAATTCAGGCCATGCTTTAAGGCACTGGCCTCTCCCTCCCATTTCCTTTTCTTTTGCAATAACCCTGCGAGGCAGAATTGGAACAAACAAAGCAGTGAGTTCATGGTTATCCCAAGTGCTTGAAAACCAAAGATCTCTGCGTAATATTATTTATTTATATATTATTCTTCCCAGAGAGTCCAAGTCCAGGACCAGATGCTTAGCTCTGAGGCAAAAGGTGTGTCTGTGTAATGGGAAAACACACTATTATAAGACATACACACCAACTTTGCTTTTAAAAACCTGAGCAGAGCTTTAGTGTCAAAGAAATGGCCAGGAACCAGAGGAATCAGTCAGCCCCCCTGTACAAGAAGCTCCCTGCTCAATCTGTGGAGGGATGCATTGTGGACGGACGATTCGCATAAAAGGCAGTAGGAAAATTCTAGGTGTTGATTCAGCAGGGCGTTTGTGTGTGTTTTGTGAGAACACACAAACACACAGGCCTTGTCTGTTTCTCCCTCTTGGCTACCTGTCTGCTGGCAGGCGGATGATCTGCTGGAGTTAAAACCACAGGCGGGCATCCCAGTCATGGCCGAAGCTGGTAAGTTAACTACGGTTAATGAAAAGGGTTGATGTAGGAAGGCATCAGGCTAGGTGCCAGGAGGCTGGGAGTTCTAGTCCCACCTTAGGCATGAAAACCGCCTGGGTGACTTTGGGCCAATCACTAGGAGACAGTGAGTTCTAGTTCTGCATTAGGTATGAAAGCCAGCTGGGAGACTTTGGGCCAGTTCCTCTCTCTCAGCCCATCCCATGGAAAGGACAGGAGGAGGAAGGAGTGTCATGTATATTCGCCACCCTGAGTTACTTATAAATAATAAAGGAGGGATTAAAATCAAATACATAAATAAATATTGCATGGAAAACCCTGGGAGGGTGCAACTGTTGGGCACTCAGAAAGAGATTTTGCTCCCAAAACCCATCTTCCCACTATTTTCAATAACGGAGGGTGAAATACATCCATGCAGAAATTTTCTTTGAAAATAGAAAGGGAAGGGGAGAGAGAAAAACAAGTTTCTCTAACTCAGCGTTTCTCAGTCTTGGCCACTTTAAACTGGGCGGACTTCACTGGCTGAGGAATTCTGGGAGTTGAAGTCCACCCGTCTTAAAATGACAGAGGAAATATTGCTCTACACAGTAACTGATCCAGCAATCATAAGATAGGCCCAGACCACTTCCTGCTGCAGCAGGTCTTGCAGGAAATTAGGGGGAACAGGCGCTCAGGAAACATAGCTGTCCTGCAGAAAAAGTGTCTTCTTCTGCCAGAAACTCCCTGCATTCCTCTCTGTTGCCGTCTGTTCAAGCCCCCAAAGCAGAAGGAAATTCCACCCCTCCAGATTGCTCCTTTTAGTACCAATCTGTTCTCTTTTCCCCGCCATCTTTCGTGCAACTGGGGATTTCAGTCATCCAGAAAGGCTGACCTGAATTTCAACTCAGCATTCTTGCTTGCTGGATTGTTGGCTGTGTCGTGGCAAGGCTAACAAACCGGTTTGGCCATAAACAAAACCCCAGCAGAAATTTCTCGTAACGGGGAGCGCCCAGGGCGTCCCGTTCCAGTAGACCCAGATGCAAAAAGAAAAAGGAAGCACCTTTGCATAATTTACTCAGCTTCGTTCCTAGCCTTGTTTCCTGAGAGGCACCCAAGTCAAAAGCGGAGGGGGTGAAAATAAAGGGGGAGTGTGATTTAAGGGGCAGGGAAGGGGGTGTGCCAGGTGACAATCAAGGGGGCTGCAAGGTGATGGGTGGAGGGGAGGGCAGGGAGTTTGCAAAGTGACCTAGGTGGTGGGCAAGGGGTCTGCAAACCCAAACTCCAAACCCATCATCCTGGTTCTTCACCTCAAGCCACAGTTAATTCCAAATGGAGAGAACAGGATTGGAGATCTGGTGGTGACTCATAATTTACTTTCCTTTTTCAGGGGAAAAACCAGATCATGAGCATAGCTGCATGCAGGGCCCCCAAACGTTACTGTGCTAGAAGGGGGTCCCCATTATTTTCCCCTTACATCTTCCCACAAAAGATTAAATTAAGGTGCGGGTCGATACAGGTAAGCCTCCACTTCTGGTACAGAAATCAGGTCATGTGTGAATCTGGCTGGGATGTAGATTTCTCGATCTCAGCTCTCTCGCATGTTGAGATACACAGAGCTGGGCGCTTAAAGGGGAGAATTAAAGATGCTCAATATTTGGCACAAAGAACCTGAAATGCAATGTCTCATAAAGCAAGTTGCTAGACCATAAGGTTTATTTTTATTTTGAGCTAAGCCTCCAAGTTTGCTACATCTCTATGTAGCATGTCACTGAAAGGAAAGTGGCAACAATATTTAGGAAACTTCCGTTCTTGGAGATGTGGAAAATACTTCAAACTCACCAAACGCAACCAGGAAAATAGCCATTTCCAAACCCTTAGCATTCTAACATAAAATATAATAATATAATACCAAACATTTCCCTATTCTTGTACATCTCCCGAGTCTCTCTGTGAGTGAGATGGATAGTCTCCAAAAACCAAGATGAATTAAGTATAAAAATTTAGAAAGCTAGCATACTCACCTGATGGCACTGATGACTCCGCCCAGAAATTTCATGGCTCCTCCTCCTTGGCCGCCCCCCACCCCCTCCACCCCCACCCCCACCTAAAAATCCTCCAATGACATTTCCAATATTGATATTTCCGCCGCCTCCACCACCACCTCCGCCGCCTCCAAGGAAGTTTTTTACAAGGAACATTTTCAGGAAGTGCTAAGAAATGGGATTTAATGCAGGGAACCTGTTGAGAGAGAGAGGGAGGGAGGGAGGGAGGGGGGAGGGAGGAAGAAAGAGAGAGTGGGGAGGGAGAGGAAGAGAGAGAGAAAGAGAGAGAGGGAGGGACAGAGGTAGAGGGAGAGAGAGAGAGAGAGAAAGAAAAAAAGAAAGAAAGAAGAAGAGAGGAGGGAGAGAGAGAAAGAAAAGAAAGAGGGAGAGAGAGGGAGGGAGGGAGGAGGGAGAGAAGATACCGTAAATGATCATAAGTTTTAATATGATGCAGTACACCTGAAGTTTCTGCCCAATTACTTTGTATTTTAATTCAGTCTAGTTACTTATTTGCATGTTGAAGAAAAGAAAAACAGAAAACAATACGCAAAGCAAAACTGGGAACGTTTTTTAAAAGAAATAGAAAATATGGTGTCTTCAGAATAAACGTCTCATTTGGAAACAGAAGGCCACAAGAGTTAGTGTGTGTGGCCATAAATTTTATAAATAAATAATATTTATCCAAAAAAGAAAACGCCAGAAAGAAAAGAGCAGGAAAGTTATGGCTACACAGGGTCCCCTATTAAAAAGAGGAAAGCTTTTAAAATGTTTCAGATCTTTAATATTTTGATGATTCATGACTAAAAATTCTTCTTGTTTCTGATGAAAAAAATGAGTCAATGGAGGAAGTGACCCACAACTCACGAAAGGCTCTGTAGTCCAAAAAGTTAAACAGAAAAAAACAAATCCTCAAAGTTGCCAAAATTGAGAAAAACTGCTTTGAGGTGTAAAAGCTACACAGGAATTATTACTCAGTTGCCACAATGAATCCGTCTCTCTCCTTTAATGCATCAGATGCAAATTCTCACTTTTAATTCCTGGATACACTTTCAGGAAAGTAGCTCAAACTAGTTACAATGAAACCGCCTGCATTTAGGAGGAAAAGACTGGCTTCACACGTCAATCGCTCGTGGTCTTGGACTTATAGCGACCGTTCAAAGTTACGGCGAACCTCCCCTAAAGATACTCACACCCCGGATTTGAAGTTCTGACAGCTGCCTATCTCCGCTGACCGCCCTGTAAACTGCATTTCGGGCGCTTGAAAACTGGCCCACATTTTATACTAGAGAGTTGGAAGGGACCTTGGAGGTCTTCTAGTCCAACCCCCTGCTTAGGCAGGAAACCCTTGACCAGGGGTCTCCAAACTTGGCAACTTTAAGACTTGTGGACTTCAACCCCCAGAATTCCTCAGCCAGCAAAGCCAGCCAGCCATTTTATGTCCTGTGGTCATGTGACCGAATTTACAATGTTTTGAATGAAGACCAGCCTTTACTTCCCATTTCCAGGAAAAACACTTCCGGTGAACAAGCTGTTTACTTAACGACTGTGAGGTTCACTTTACGACTGCTGCAAAAAAGGTGGCAAAATCGGCCAGGATCCTGTGACAAATCACTTAACGACCAGCACCATTTATTCATTCATTCATTCAATAATCCTTATCTAGAATCAATTTACGGCCGTAATGGCAGGCTCAATAACGGTTGTAAATTGAGGACTACCCATATAGGGTACAAAACCAACTGGTCAGCATCAAATGGATTAGACTGAGATTTTTTCTTCTTTTACTAGCAGAGGAAAAGATTTGTTCAAGTCTAGCTCATCCTAATGATATAGTATGGATTTCTGGAGTGAGTAAGGTTAGACTAGATGATCTCTCGGATCCTTTCCAGCTCAGCTGGTGCCCTTCAGGTATATTCCCCAGCCAGTTTCCTCCCCTTGGGAAGACTGGACTCCACTCACCAGGCTCTCTGCCAAGAAATGAGGGCCCCCATTCCCCCATGAGACTCAGTTTCCCCTCCTAGCCCCTTATCCTGGATCCCAGATCCCCCAGTCTGCTAAAGATCCATCAGATGGGTGGGGCAGGGAAAGATCACTCCCTTCAGATAAAAGAACCATTCCCTTCAGGTACTAAACAAATAACCTGTCATGCAGCTCGATTTGCAAGCCAGGGCTTACTCATAGTTTACTCAGTCCACATAGTTCCCTGAGTTTGCAGGTTGCATCCAAGCGTGGAGTACCTGCACCGCCTGGTTTGCACAAGAGACTACAGAAATAGACAGCTGGTTGACTTGAGAGTTGTTTAGTGGGTAATACAAACTCAGTAATTAGGGTCACTCAAGAAGCGATACGGCAAAAAAACAGGGTTTGTCAACCTTGGCGGCTTTAAGATGGGTGGACTTCAACTCCCAGAATTCCCCAGGCAACACAGCTGGCTAGGGAATTCTGGGAGTTGAAGTCCACCCATCTTAAAGCCGCCAAGGTTGACAAACACGGAAATAAAGAGAATTTCACACTAGCTCACCAACCTGTTAAGACACGAAAAAGATTGTGAATTTCAACACCATTTCAAACCAAACCTTTATTATGCACCAAAAGCATAATATGTAGTGTGGCGACTTCCCAAGTTGTGGACTTCAACTCCCAGAATTCCCCAGGGAGACTTCCATTCCCAGAAGTCCCCTTGTTGACTGGGGAATTCTGGGAGGTGAAGTCCACAGCTTTGAAACTTGGCAAGGTTGAAGGAGATTGGAAAGGTAGCCCAAGCAAGCAATCCTATCTCAGAACAGCAATGCACAAACTCCGCCAGGGGTGCAGCGGATCACGCTCATGACTCTCGGGGTCCCTGCGGGGATTCCCAATGGGGGTCACCCACTTTGGCCTCGATGGGGCTGCCTGCCATTTGCCACAGGCATCTTCTCTCCACCAACCCCTGTGTAGATCTAAGCAAGGACCATGGGGGATCCCTTGGAAGATGTTGAACTACGACACCCATCACTCCTGTCCACTGGCTGTGGCTGATGGGAGTTGGGGGGTCCAAAGAAATGAAAGCCTGTTAGGGGGAGCCCCGTGTGTATCTAAGCAAGGACCATGGTGGACTACAAAACTCATCACTCCTGGCCGTGGCTGATGGGATTGGGGGAGTCCGAAGAAATGAAGGCGTTTAGTTAAGGGGAGTGGAATCTAAACGGGGTTCCCGGCCTGGTACTCTTCAGTTCCCCTGGCTGGGCCTGATGGGACCCGAAGTCCAACAGCGGTGCGAGGCCCCCGGCTGCTCTCTGCGCCCCCAAATAAGGCGACGCGAGAGATCGGGAGAAGAGCGGAAGGCGGCCCAGGAGATCCCAAGAGCAAGAGGAATCTAACCAGGAGGGATCTAGGGAGATCCTTTCTGGCAGGGCGCAGGAGAAGCGATCCACCATTGATCCCGGGGAGCGGGAAGGCCAGGCCAGAGGCGGCCCGGGCAGGAAGCCGAGCTCCTCCCGCGGTCCGGCGAGGGGATCCCAGGAAGCCAGCGGGATCCAGCGCAGAGGAAAGAAGACCCGCGAGCCCCCCAACTCCCGGCCAGCCTCCCCCCAGCCCCACTCCCGCTTACCTTGGCCGCCAAGGGCTGCTCGGGGCAAGTGGTCCGGCGGGCGGTGGATCTCCTGCGGGATCTACCACGCCCGGACTACTCACTGCAGCGGATCAGGCGGGGAGCCCGCGGGGTCCTAGCGCCTCCTGGTCCGCCAGCCGGAGCTTTGGCAAGCGGGCGCCCTCCAGAGGCTCTCCGCCCCTCGTGGCTGGGGGTGTCGGGGGGGCCCGGAGCAGCCCTTGGCCGAAGGCGTCGCTTGAATGGCTGCATTCCTTTCGGCCTGCAGGGGGGCCGGCCTGGGGGGGGGGGGCGGGAGCAGCGGGGAGTGTTTTGGGGGGCGGCGGCCCCCCAAGAAGGGAGGGGGGGGTCAACTGATTTTCCAAAGCACCAGAAAAGCAGGACAAGAAGCAACGGAGGGAAAGAAGCAGAAGTGTTGCAATTCGAGCCAAGGGCGCTCCTGAGCAGGTACAGAGCGCCGCTGAAGACCGGGGTTTCTTAAACTGGGCAACTTGGAGAGGGCTGGACTCCAACTCCCACAATCCCCAGCCAGCCTGCTAAATGAACTTGAAGGTGGCTGGACTCCAACTCCCAGAATCCCTCGCCGGCCTGCTAGTGAGCTTGAAGGGGGGGTTCCTCGGGCCGAGGCATTCTGGGAGTTGGAGTCCGCGGACCTGGAGAGGCGTGGCCTCCTCCCCCGCCCCGCCCCCAGGGCCACGTGACGCGCGAGCCGGAAGAGGATGGCGGCGGGCTGCGGCGGGCGGAGGTGGCGGCTGCTGCCGGTGCTGCTGCTGGCCGGGGCGGCGCTGGCTCCGGGGTCGGCCGGCGGGGCTGCGTCGGAGCCGGGCCGCTGGAGGCGGACGGCGGGCGGGGTGAGTGCGGGGGCGGGGCCCGGCCAGACCTGTGGCGCCCCCGGGACCCTCCCCACCCATCCTGCACGGCGCCTGGCTGGGGCGAATGGGCAGGGGGGTCCGGCTGGGCGGCCCGAGGGGCTCCCGGGTCGCTTCCCTCCCGTCAGGCCCATCCAAGGTCAGGCTAGATGGCCTCGGGGTGCCCCCCCGGCTTTCTTCAAAGGGGGGGCGGCCTGGGAAGTGGGGGGTGGGCAGCCGAGAGGACCCCAGCCCCGCTTTCCCAGGAGCTGCCCTGCCTCCTCTTCTCTCTCTGCCCCTCCTCCCCCCTCACAGCAGGGTTGGGGGTCCCTCTCTGGGATGGTTGGATGGTTGCCCCTCCCCCTGCGCCCCTCCCCACTCCAAAGACCCCAGCAGCCTCCCATAGCAACTGATTTCACAGCTTTCTTTCCCTTTTCTTTTTAAATGTTTGATGCTGTGGGTGGGCCAAAAAGAAGGAAGGACCCTCCCTCAATAGCCACCAAAGACCCTCCCCCCCCCTCCAAAGAAAGCATGGGCAGAAAGGTCTGGTCCCTGCCTTGGCTGGCCTGCTCTGCAGGGGTGTCAGCTTCCTTTGCAAAGGGGACTTTGGGTTGGGTGCTTCCAAAGGGGCTTCTCCATCCCCCCCCCTCCTCTGTCCCATAGAGAGGAATGAATGGCCCTGGCCCTCTGCTGAGGGGTTGGACGGTCTGGGCAGTCAGCAATGCCCTGGGTGGCCAGCTGAGTTCGGGTGGGAGATCTCCGGCCACCGGTTGAGAAGATTCCTTTGGATGCCAATCAAACAGCAGGCATTATCAGTAACATTATCAGTGTCTCTGAAGATGAGGTTTACTCCCTGTGTTTATATATGTATAAAATAGTTTGCCCTGCCACTTCTACCCCGATAAGCAGGGATTAACACCAGACAAGAAAGCAAGCAGAAAACTATACTCTAATCACGAAACCACCAAGAAACTCCCACCAACCCTCTACATAAACAGAGAGCAAACTCCCTTTTAACACTGATAATGTCACCTAACTGGGTCATGAAACGTCTGCAAGAAAACCACCAAGCTCATTCCGCACCCAGGACCCCACAATTCTTGTTCCTCCTCCACTCTGCAAACCTTCTTGTCCTGATGAAGTTACCTAGTTGGGTCATAAAACATATGCAAGGACCCTGCAGTTTGACACCCAGCTACGAATATTGTCTTCTATCATATTCTAGCGTTGTTTGACATTTATATTGGAATGAGGGGGGGTCCCAAAATCTACCACACCTTTCGTTCTCCCCTCAGTGGCTGTTTCTTCCCAGAAAGAATCTCCAAACAATCATTTTCCCCGGAGGTTTCTTTGGCCAGAGCAGAAAGTTATTCCGTGCTATCCTAGCTGGATCTTAGGAACAGGATGGATTTGAACTCGAGCCCTTTGGTGGAGTGACCGACCCTTTGTGCTGTTCTTGTTTTCCAGAACCAAAAGAATTTGTTTGTCTTCTCCAAAACGATGTTTAAAGGGACTTGGATTATCCTCAAATGTAAGTGCCAAGCCTCCCACAAGCAGGATAATTAAATCAAAATTTGGACTAGCTGGAGGAGGTTTACAGGATTTTTATATTTTTATTTTTTATTTTTATTTTACAGTTCCCCACGAAGTCTGCAACAGTTGGGAAGGGCTCCTGAACGTGACCTGGTATCTCCGCAGTTCCCGCTGCCACCATGAAATCTACATAAATGTGAGCCGCCGGGTGGATTGGGGGGGGAACAGGGTGGGGAAGGCTGGAAATCCCCCCCACCTCTGGGGCTCAGCAGGAAGGAAGCCCCCTCCTCAAGGCTGGATATCTGGACCCATGGTTCCAGGTGTTTGGGTGGGTGGGCTCTTAGTATTCTGTAATTTCCCCTCTGATTTTCTTTCTTCTTTCAGGAAAATGAAGCTTTGACCTACCTGAGCAATCCTGACATTGAGGCCAGCGTCCTTGGAGATGGCCAGTACATCTGGAACTTCACTCTGGTGCAGTGTGGACAGTTGCACAAGGTGCGGATCCAGCATGCAGGACTCTCAAGGGGTGGCCTTAAAATGGTTGGAAAACCAGAGTAGCCTCATGGTGGGGGGAAAGCACCCCAGGTGGTGAACAAGCCTGATAGAAGAGAGTGTTTGTAGCTCAGGGTTGAATGCGGAGTCCTCAGTAATCTTTGAGTTTGCAGACGTTTCATGACCCAGCTAGGTAACATCATCAGTGCTGGTTAGGGTGGGGGGAACTCATCCTCTCCAGCAACCAACATCTAGATAAGCAGGGATTAACACCAGACAAACAAACAAGCAGAAATCAAGACCCTAACAAGGGGAAAACCACGCCCACTAACACAGGCAGGGCAAACGAATGTATATAAACAGAGAGCAAACCCCACTCGCTCGTAGCACTGACAATGCTACCTAGTTGGGTCATGAAACGTCTGCAAGAAATCCACTGAGCTCAAAGTGGGGAACTCATAACTTCGTCCACTTGAATGGGGAGTGGAAGTATTATTTGGAGGTCCTGACTAAGACCACTGCCTCTTCTCTCTGTTTCAGTTGAATGTCCAGGAACTCCCACTTCCGAAAAAGCTGAAGCACCTCCCAGATAAAAGGGTAACCAATTGGGGGGACTTTGAGATTCTGGCAATGGGGGGAGGGGGATGAAACTGATGGGGGGGGTACTGGTGGCCAGCAGGTGACTTAACTTTGCCTTAAAATGAGTAAACCTTACAGGAGCATCAGTCATACATACAGCCGTTCCTTTAGTGACCATTCAAAGTTACGATGACTCTGAAAAAAATGACTTGGGACCTGTCTTCACACTTACGACCATTGCATCATCCCCATGGTCACGTAATCAAAATTTACGTGAACCCTTGGCAACTGACTCATATTTATGACGGTCGCAGGGGTCCCTGGATCACGTGATCCCCTCTTGCGACCTTCCGATAAGCCAAGTCAAGGAGGAAGCCAGATTCGCTTAACAACTGTGGCAAAAAAAAGTTGTAAAATGGGGCAAACCCACTTAACAACTGTCTCCCTGAGCAACAGAAATTTTGGACTCAATTGTGGTCGTAAGTTAAGGACTAACTGGATTTATTAAATGTATATGCTGCTCCCCTCACCTAGAGATCCTTTCTGGTCCTTTTACAGGAGGCGGCATGGAAATACACAGTTTGTCCCGCTTTGAAAAGAGTGATTGTTTAAAACAACAAACGTCATATAAATTTTAACCTCAGGGACTCTGCGATAGACAGGATGTGGGGGTCTCCCCTTCCTCCCCCTCCTGACTTTTGCTCCCCCTCCTTTCTCCGCAGACCTCTACGCAAAAGAGAGAGGCCCGCAGAGCCAAGGAAGACAAGAAGGAGAAGGGATCCATCCCCCCAAATCAAGAGGCCCAGAAGCCCAGCGAGACCCAGGAGGTGAAGCCGCCTCCCTCGGCCCATGGAGAACCTACAGAAGACCCCAAGAAGAAAGTGGACGTGCCAAAGAGAAAGCTCGAGGTCGGTGGTCTGCATGGGCCCTGGGCCTTGCAGGGGGTGGCAGGCAGGAATTCAGAGCGTTCCTCAGTGGACTTCTGCTGAAGGGGGGGGGGGGGGGGCACCAAGCTTCCTTTCCTGTTTCTTCAGAGGTTGGAGAGAGGCTGTTTAATGTTGGAAGTTGGTATCTGATACTACATGGCCTTCACAACGTCTATAGAAGGACCATCGAGATGGTCTACAAATGGAGGAAGATGGTCTATACCAGGGGTCTCCAACCTTGGCAACTTTAAGACTTGTGGACTTCCAACTCCCAGAATTCTTCAGCCAGCAAAGCTCTGGGAGTTGAAGTCCACAAGTCTTAAAGTTGCCAAGGTTGGAGACCCCTGGTATAGACCATTCCATGGTTCCCACTGGAAGAAGGTGAGCCCGTCTTGTGTTGCAAGCAGCTTCTTGATTTACCTGAAATATTGTGGGTTTTTTTTTTAATCTCTGATCTAGCCTGTCACAGTTGCTGAAACTTGGAAGGATGGCCCTTACGTCTTCATCCTCAGCATCACGAGCCCCTCGCCCAACTGGGAGCTCTCGAGTGAGTGGAGAGTCCAGTTTTGATGGACCAAGCAAAAAATAATATCTTTAATATCTAATATCTTTAAATTGCCTTCACCCATAGAGAGGACTGTTATGTCTTCTTCTAAAGGGACTTTAGAAGTTATGGGAGACTGGGGGCAAGGAGGCTTCACTTCCGACCGTTCAGTCCCTCTACTCAGTCTTCTTTGGTCTTGGGATCTTCTGCACGTTGGACAAGCCTTCTTGAATCACCCTTGTCCTGGAAAAGGGGTGATAACTTCCAGAGGCCATGCTGGGGTGGGATACAGTGCTCCATTTTGAGGCGGGTTTCACCAGCGGAGGAAAGTTGGGTTGGAGTTCCATCACAGGCATTTCACCTCCTGCTTCTTCTCCAGAAGTTGCTGTTCTTCTGCAAGCTTTTTCACCCGTGTCTTTTTCCCATTCTGCCTTGCAGTTGATGTTCAGATGAAACATCCTGAGTACATATACATCTCCGCCTCGGAATGGCCCCTCAAGGTGGTAAGTTGAAAACCCCGTTTTATGGCTCAGGTGACAGCAGTGTGCAGAGGGCATCGTGGCCTGTTTCTCCCAACATATTTGAAGTCCACCCATCTTCAGGTTCATTAGCAGGCTGCCTGGGGAATTGTGGAAGTCCCCCAACTGAAAGTTGCCAAGTTGGAGAAACTGTTCTAGAGCAGGGATCTCCAAACGTGGCCACTTGTGGACTTCAACTCCCAGAATCCCCAGCGAGCCACATGGCGTTGAAGCCCACCCATCTTAAAGTGGCCAAGTTTGGAGAGCCGTATCCTGGAGACAGTTGTGGGATGAAGGGTGGCCCTTCCTTCGTCCCCCCCAACCTTTGCTCGCCTTCCGCACCTGCTTCCTTCATCCGTGGTGCGATTCCTCTCCCTCCCAGTTCTACATGGTGATGTGCATTGTTTACGTGCTCTACGGCGTCTTGTGGCTGACTCTCCTGGCCTGCTACTGGCGGGACATTCTGCGCATCCAGTTCTGGATCGGTGGCGTCATCCTGCTTGGCATGTTGGAGAAGGCGGTCTTCTACGCCGAATTTCAGAGCATTCAAAGCGAGGGGGAATCAGGTGAGTAGAGACCCTCTCCCCCCCCCCCAAATCTGTGGCGGGATGGTTCCCAACGGACGGTTCTTCTGGCTTGCTCAACGCGGCGTCTTCTGTGCAGACTGCACTACAGTTCCCATCGCCTACCAGCCCCACTAAACGGGGTGATGGGTGTTGTGCTGCAGTGGATTTGGACAGCCTCGGCAAAGGGGAGACTAAGATGGCTTCTTTCTTTCATGTATTTTATTTACCGGTGGTCCTCGACTTACGACCAGAGTTGAGGCCAAAATTTCTTTTGCCAAGTGAGGCAGTTGCTAAGTTAATTTTCTTCCATTTTGCCACCTTGCTTGCCACAGTTCTTAAGGGAATCACTGCAGTTCTTAAGTTAGCAACATGGTCGTTAAGTGAATTTGGCTTCCCCATTGACTTGGCTGGTCAGAAGGTCGCAAAGGTGGAATCACATGATCCCAGAGACACTGTGACTGTCGTAAATGTGAGTCAGTTGCCAGATGCCTGAGTTTTGATCACATGACTCTGGGGATGCAATGGTCGTAAGTGTGAAAAACGGTCATAAGTCACTTTTTTCAGTGCCATTTCAACTGTAGTCACTAAGTGAACTGTTGTAAGTCGAGGACTACTTGTACGACATTTATCTGCTGCCCATTTCACTGGCAAGGCAACTCTGGGAAACGTCCAAACTTAAATGCAGAGGTATAAAGTGTTAAAACTTGTAAATATTCAATAAAGCAAAATTAAATAAGTTTTTAAAACAATTCTATGGGTTAATTGAAACATTTCCACCATTTTGCAGAGCGGACGGACACCTGTCCAGTCTCCCCTTGCTGTTTCGGAGTTGGGTGGGCATGGCTATTGGCTGGGGAGGATGGGCGTTTGGGTCCTTTTCATCCCCAGGGCTCCCGTTTGAGCACGCAAGGGGTTGCCTTCCACCAGCCAAGGCTGGGCCTCGTTTTCTGGGTTCCAGGCAGAGGTGGGATTCAGCCGGTTAATTTTACATCCGGTTCAGCGAACCGGTAGTTCCAACGACTGGCTGGCCCTGCCCCTCCCCTCCCCTCCCAGGAGTCCCCACGTGGCCCGCTTTGGATCCCAGGTAAGTGCAGGGGGCGTGTGGAGCCTGAGGAGGTGGAAAACAGGCCTCCCAGAGGCTCTTGGAGGGCGAAAATGGGCCTATTTCCTGCCTCCAGAGAGCCTCTGGAGCCCGGGGAGGTTGAAAATGGGCCCTCCACAGCCTGTTTTTCCTCCCAGGGGGCTGCAGGAGGCCAAGTGCTGCCTGTCACACCCACCATGGCCACGCCCACCATGGCCACGCCCACCCAGCCAGTCATCAGGGCAGAGAACTGGTTGTTAGTTTATTTGAATCCCACCACTGGTTCCAGGCCAGTCATCTCATGTAATTTATGTGGGTGCATGCATAATTTTGTTTTTATTTATTTTGTCACGTTTGCATGGTGTATGTTGGAGGCGGAGACTTTTTGAGAGCTGCATGCAAGGAAATTTCATTTTAACGTATGCCGATCCGTGTTTGTTCAGAGCGAGAATAAAGTTATTCTCCGTCTCTCTCTCTCTCCCTCCTTCTCCCTTCTGCAGTCCAAGGCGCCGTGATCTTCGGCGAGGTGCTGTGTGCCGTGAAGCGGATGTTGGCCCGGGTCCTCGTCATTATCGCCAGCCTGGGATACGGCATTGTCAAGTGAGAGCGGACGGAGGGCACAGGGGAGGGATGCCCAGGGCACAGCCGGATGCCACAAAAGCCAGCCGGGTGATTTTGCTCTTTCCGAAGCCCACCTCGCAGGGTTGTGGTTTCAGAGGAGGCGGGGACATGATCTCTCCAGCTTTGAGTCATGCAGAATGAAAGCAGGATCTGAAACGGCCTCAAGATGTATTCGTGTCCACGTTGGTTTAATGACGTGAATCGGCGGCGACTCTCTGTCAATAACGGAAGGGACATTTTATTTGCTTCTGGCACAACTTAGTTTAATTGCAGGATTTGTTTCTTTGTTTATATCCTGCCTTGTTTTTATAAATGACTCAAAGCAGTGAATGTACTTAATATTCCTTCCTCCTCTTTTCCCCACAACAACCCTGTGACTGGCCCAAAGTCACGCAGCCGAAGATGGGACTAGAACTCACATTTCCTGGTGATTGGTCCCAAGTCACCCAGCTGGCTTTCATGCCTTAGGGTGGACTAGAACTCACCGTCTCCTGGTGATTGGCCCAAAGCCAACTAGTTTTCAGGCCTAAAGTGGAACTAGAACTCCCTGCCTCCTGGTGATTGGTCCAAAATCACTGAGCCGGCTTTCCTGCCTAAGGCAGAACTAGAACTCACCGTCTCCTGGTGATTGGCCCAAAGTCACCTGGGTTTTATACCTAAAGTGGAACCAGAGCTCACCGCCTCCTGGTGATCGCCCTAAAACCGAATCACAATAATGCCCCTCCCCCTCCCAAAGCTGGACCCCCATCGTGACGCCCTCAGCTTCTCTCTCGCAGGCCGCGGCTGGGGGCCCTTCTGAACCGCGTGGTTGGCGTAGGATTGATGTACCTGGTCTTCTCCATCATCGAAGGCGTGCTGAGGGTTAAATCGGTAAGGGGGAGGGGGAAGGACTTTAGGACTGGGGTGGTGGGTCCAGGAGGGAGCCTTGCAGTGGGGAGGGGAGGGGTGGGGTCCGGGTGCTCAGCCTCTGATTATTCCCCCACCCCAGGAACAAGCTAACATGGTCACCTTGACTTGCGAGATATTTCTCGCTTTTTTGGACTCCTGTATCGTCTGGTGGATATCCTTTGTCTGAAACTTCGGCCCTCCAGCTCCTCTTTCTTGGTTTCAGGGCGACCAGGGAGGTGGGGGGGGGGGAGAGGAATCTGGCTTTGCAAACAGAATTAGCCCCTCACGAAAAAAAATTAGGTTTCTCAGTCCGTCAAAAGACACCCAAAAAGGATCCTAAATGAGTTAACTTACGAACTTAACCACAAATCTCTTCCTATTTTAGATAGTGGAAGATCGCGAATTTGAGGTTTTCCAAATGCCTCCCTTCCCCAGTTAAAAATTTGGTCTTTTCCCAAATGTGCACGCTGTACAGGCGGTCCTCAACTTATGACGGTTTGCTTAGTGGCTGTCGGAAGTTCCCACAGTGCTCCCCAAGGCTACTTAACAACCCAGTTTTGAATTTTAGACAGCGGGGGTGGGGGTGGGGCATGTAGCCGTGTGACCCCCCCGTTGGGCACTTGGCAACTGGCCTCGCTTGACGTTCATTTGCAGCATCCCATGGGTCATGTGACTGCCTTTTACGACATTTTTGCCTTAAACCAGCATTTATTTCTGGTTTTCGGCCGAAACGGCCCATCATGTTCACTTTATGGCCATCATGGTCATAAGCCGAGGACTAACTGTAAGCGAGCCCAAATCTCTTCTGTTGGTTCGAAAGCCACGATCCCTTCTTCCTTCCCTCGGTCTTCCCATCCTTTCCCCGGTACCCCATTTCCCCTCGCCCTCGTGGACCAGTGATCCCCAACCTGTGTTTGGAGCGCCCCCTGTTGCCTTTTCTCCTCGTTCTTCCTCTCCGTCACTTTTTTTTTTTCTCCTTCTCTCCTTTCTCTCGTTTTATCCCAGGCTCAGGATGACTTGGTGCTGCTAGCAGCCATTCCCCTTGCTCTGCTTGACTCTGCTCTCTGCTGGTGGATATCCTCTGTGGTCCTGGCCTGCTGGGGGGCAGGAGGGCAGGCGGGGGGGCTCTGGGTCCTGGGCCTCCCTACTCCTCCCTTTCCTGCCCACCCTCCCTCCTCCCCAAACAGTTGGTCAACCTGTGGGCTTTCGAAAGGGAAGAGGCTGTCTGGATAATGGGCTGGAGCTGGTTTCAGGTGGTGGTGGGGCTTTGTTGAGTTCTCTTGACCCCTTGATGGAGCTTGGAGTCCTAGTGGGACGATCGCTTAAACATGAGCCAGCCGTGTGCGGCGGCTGCCAAAAAAGCCAAGGCAATCCAAGGCTGCATTAACAGAGGCAAATCAAAATCAAAATCGCGTGAAGTGTTAGTACCACTTTGTAAAGCCTTAGTAAGGGCACACCCTGAGTACAGCATCCTGTTTTGGTCACCACATTACAAAAAAAGAAAAAAAAAGTGCGAAGAAGAGCAACTAAGATGATTAAAAGCCTGGAAGCTAAAACATAGGAAGAACGGTTGCAGGATTTGGGTCTGGCCAGTCTAGAGAAAAGAAGGACTAGGGGGGGACATGAGAGCAGTCTTCCAATATTTGAGGGGCTGCCCCAAAGAAGAGGGGAGCCAACCTATTCTCCAAAACGTCTGAAGGCAGGACAAGACGCAAGGGATGGAAACGGATCGAGGAGAGAAGCAACCTAGAACTAAGGAGAAACTTCCTAACAGTGACAACAATTAGCCAGTGGAACAGCTTGCCTCTAGAGCAGTGTTTCTCAACCTTGGAAGCTTGAAGATGGGTGGACTTCAACTCCCAGAATCCCCCAGCCAGCTTTGCTGGCTGGGGGATTCTGGGAGTTGAAGTCCACCCATCTTCAAGCTTCCAAGGTTGAGAAACACTGCTCTAGAAGTTATGGGTGCTCCGTCATTGGTTGCTCAGGAATTCTGGGAGTTGAAGTCCGCAGATCATAAAGGGGCCATAGCACCCCTACTGTAGAGGGTTTGGGGGCCACAGGGTCACAACAGGGGAGGTTGTCTTGTGTCCAGTTTTGGGTGCGAAGCCTACCCCGATGAGCCCAATGCCAGTTTGGGTTTTAACCACCAGGCTACCAAGCTCTCCTCTCTGGAGAGGCACCCAGGTTCCTCTCCTCTTGACGGGGGTCCCCTCTCGGCATCTCCCACCCACCCCACCTCCTTGCCATGTTGTTCTCCTTGACCGCTGGCACATCCTGATCAGCCTGGTGCAGACCATGAAGCTGCTGAAGCTGCGAAGAAACCTGGTTAAGCTCTCGCTCTACCGCCACTTCATCAACACCCTCATCTTCGCCGTCATAGGTGAGACGGGGCCTGGGGTGGCTTTGCGGGGGGGGGGGGGGGCACGCTGCTTTCTTGTTGCTCAGGTTGTGGGGGGAGGTCCTTGTTGGGGCCGGGACTTGCTTTAAAGAGTCAGTTTGGTCTAGTGGTTAAGGCATCAAGTTAGAAACCAGGAGACGGTGAGTTCTAGTTCTGCCTTGAATGAATGGAATGAATGAATGAATGAATGGAATGAATGAATGAATGAATGAATGAATGAATGAATGAATGCTGGATGGCTGGATGGCTTTGGTCAGTCACCAGGAGGCTGGGAGTTCTAGTCCTGCCTTTGGCATGAAAGCCGGCTGGGTGATTTAGGCCGACTGGCCTGTTCACAACAACAGGATTGTTATTGTAGGGAAAATAGGAAGAAACTATGACGGACATGTTTGCCACCCTTGAGTTATTTGTAAAAAATAATACAGGCGGGATACAAATAAATAAATAATGAACAGGGAAGAGGAAAGTTACATCGCAAAGCGCAGATGGAGCTAATGCAAAAGTGGGGATGAACTCAGAGGAAAACCTCAGGATTTTGCTTTCTTTGTATTCCAATTCAGCAGCGAACGAGGATAAGAAATTCTCAGCTTTCAAATTAAAATTTGGCGGAAGAGCTGAGCGCTACCGCTCAGGTTTTCACAGAGCCTGCTGTTCTATATCTGCTCAGATTTATTTTTTTAAAACGCCTTGCTGTCACCCCAACCCCTCCAGCCTTTATCAGATAGGCTGGGAACATAGCGCCTGGAGCAGGATATTAAATCCCTCGGTTAAATTTTAATTTCAAAGACTTCCTGCTGCCTCCAGAAGACGCTTCCCTCCTGCAGTCACCCACAACACGTATTTTCTGTCTCTTTCTGCAGCGTCCCTGATCTTCATCGTCTGGACCACGAAGACTTTCCATCTTGCCACCTGCCAATCCGTGAGTAAGCAGGCTGCCTCCCTTTCCCTTCATCATCATCATCATCATCTTTTAGATCCAGAATTTTTTTTTTTAAAAAAAGTTGACCCTTGAACCACTGAAATGTTCTCCTTCCAAGAATACTGCAACCAGTTTTGGTCACCACACTACAAAAAAAGATGTTGAGATTTTGGAAAAAGTGCAAAGAAGAAATACTAGGATGATCAAAGGCCTGGAGACTAAAACATAGGAAGAACGGCTGCAGGATTTGGGCTTGGCTAGTCTAAAGAAAAGAAGAATTAGGGGGGACATGATAGTAGTAGTCCAGTACTTGAGGGGCTGCCACAAAGAAGAGGGGATCAAATTATTCTCCAAAGCATCAGAGGGCAGGACAGGAAACAATGGATGGAAACTAATCAAGGAGAGAAGTTGTTCTCGCCTTCTCTCTGCTCTCCGTGCTCTAGGATCAGGAGGGGGTGATCCTTGCTCTTCTCCTGAGCTCTGTGTCTCCTCTTCCTCCCTGTCTACAAGCCTTTCTAATCCTCAAAAGCCTTGCCCGGACTGACTCTGCCCTTCCCCAGTTTCCTCCAAGGCCAACGGAGCCACCCTCTCGGCTCCTGTTCCATCTCATCTTCCCCCGCAGATTCAGACTCCGACTGGGCATGACATGTACCTTCTCGGGTTTCCTGCACAACGACACTTCCTGTTTTCTTCTCCATTAGGACTGGCGGGAACTCTGGATCGACGACGCCTTCTGGAGGTTCCTCTTTTCCATCATCCTGCTGGTGATCATGTTCCTCTGGAGACCCTCCAGCAATAATCAAAGGTGTCGGAACTTGAACTCAGGACAGCTCGCTCTATATCCCTTGCCCATCGGGCTTCTGTGTTTTCATTCTCCTCTCAAGGGGGGGAAAACCCACCTTTCTCCTTGAAAGGAGATGGAGCATCTCCTTCAAGTGAGGGGGAGAGGGCGGGTCTCCTTCGGGTGAGTCCCCAGCCCCATTTCACGCCCTCTTCCTGGCCCCCTCCCCACAGATACGCCTTCATGCCTCTGGTGGACGAAGGGAGCGAGCAGGAGGAAGAGGAAGAAGAGCAGGTGGTCAACGAAGTCTTTGGTAAGCCTTGGCCGGTGGTCTCTTCCGCCCCAGGACCCCCACTCTGGTTCCTGAACCTTTTCTCAAGTGGCTGGTGTGCGTTTGCACGCCTGTATGTGTGCTTCCCCCCCCCGCCCCCAATGCATTCCGGCTGATCTCTTGCAATCTCCTCGTGGGAGACATCTCTGCCAAGGAAAAATATCTCCCACCTGTGCTGGTTCTAGATTGAGCTGGTTCTAGATTGAGCTAGTGTGTCGGATCTGGAAGGGGGGGGTTGGCCTCCCTGCACTCACTCACCCCTTTTCTCTCCCTCTTTTGCTATTTCCCTCCTCTTTGGCACAGGGATGAAGATGAGGGGTGGGAAACCGGAAGTCAATGGGATTCTAAAAGGCAACCGAGTGGTAAGAATTTTGGATGGAGTTTCTTCTTCTCTTCTTCCTATCTTCTTCTGTTAATCTTCTCTCTCCTTCTTTTCTTCCTCTTCCTCCTCCTCCTCCCCTCCTTTTTCTTCCTCCTCTTTCTCTCCTCCCTCTTCCTTCTCTTTCTCTTTCTCCTCCTCATCCTCTTCTTCCTCTTTTTTCTTCCTCCTCCTCCATCATGGGTTTAAGTTCTTCCCCCTTGTCGTCTTCCAAATGCAGGACGAAGACTTGAAATGGGTTGAAGAAAACATTCCCTCTTCCATGGCTGATGTGTAAGTCTTTTTTTTTTTTTTTTTTGGTTTAAGATATTTTCCCTGTGTTTGGCTTATTAGGCTCCTATCTGTTGTAGGGTTGTAGTAAAGGATTGCACTCTTGAAGGGATTATTACGTAAACATTTCAATTCCTGCATTTTAGTCAAAAAGCTTAAAAGAAACTCGTGGGGGTGGGGGTCTTTCTTGGTTTTTTTGGAGCACGGCAAGAAAAACCTCCATGAAATGAGATAGTTCAGTCCAACAGAGTTAATCCATGGCCATAAACCTAGAATTTCTACAATTTTATTGTCTGCCGTCTCCAAGTCGTCTCTGCGTGTTTGTAACCTTCTCTCTCCTTTTTCTTCCAGTATGCTACCACCACTGCTGGACTCCGATGAGGTAAGCCTGCCATTTTGCATCTTTTGTCCCAAAGCCCAAATATATGTAGTTATTTGTTCAATTTCTGTAGCCCTTCCATCTCAGTCAATGACTCTGGTTCACTAGCACAGGGGTCTCCAAACTTGGCAACTTTAAGACTTGTGGACTTCAACTCCCAGAGTTCTTTGCTGGCTGAGGAACTCTGGGAGTTGAAGTCCACAAGTCTTAAAGTGGCCAAGGTTGGAGAGCCCAACATTAGCATGCCAGCTGGGGAATTCTGGGAGTTGAAGTCCACCCATTTTAAAGCAACCACATTTGAGAAACACTGTTTTAAAGTGTTCAGAGAGCCTTTAAGGGAGGCGATCGAAAGGAAGGGCTCGGAAGATCCCTTGTGATCAAGCTGAAAATCAGGAAAGACCCGTCCGGCTGAAAATCATTAAAAAAACTAATTAGTTCTCTTTTTCTCTTTCTTTCCACCTTAGGAAATAATGACCACAAAGTTTGAAATGTCCAAGATGGAATAAAATTCAACCGCTCTCACTGACGGGTTTTGTACAAAGGATGCGTCGGGGAAGCACGTTCTCATTTCTTCCTCTTTTTTTTTTTCTTTCTTTTTCCAACTGGTGGTGTTTTTTTTTAAATATATGTATATGGTTTTTATCCATATATGTATATATATACATGAGCGTGCACACATACAAAAAAAACCCCCACACCGATACATATATATATATATATATATATTTGTAAATGGTTATAAAAGGATTATTTTATTACTTTCTGCATTTCTAATCCTGGAGTTTTGGCCGGACAAGGACTCCTGACCCACCTCCTGCTGGAGTGGAGGATGGAGACGAGCAGAATTCCCCCCCCCCCTCCCAGCCTGGTTTTAAAAACAAGATTTTTTTTTCTGCAGTCGGGTGAACATCTGGTGTTTGTTCCTGGCAACCTCCAGAGCTGCCCATAGGCAGGTTCCTCGTGTGAGGATAGGGCCGGGTCCGAGTGCGAATCCAGAGCAGAAGAGAGCCTTGTCCAACTGCTGAGTGACAACTCAGGGCTCTCTGCAACAGACTCGGACTCTGGCCAGGAACGAACCGTGGTCTGTGTCCATATTTGCCTGCATATGATGGTAGGAAGGAAAGAGGGAGGGAGGGTTTTGCCTTGGGGGAGATGGATATGCCCCTTGTCCGTTCTGGGGTTGTCCAGTTTTGCAAGGGAGAAACGGGCCTGGGCCGTCCTGCATTTGCAGATGAGCGGCACAGGTCAGCAAGAAAGACCCTAAGAACCCCTGGATTATACAGCTGTGAGGGTGTGTTTGGTCCAAGGTAACATCTGACTCCAGATTTGGCAGCGTTGAGCCCCAGAAATGTTCTTGAACGGGGACCAAAACAGGTTTAGTGCCAGAGCTACCACCGTATTAAAAGTTCCCGCGTGGATGGTTGGCACTCAGTATTCACTGGCCGGATTGCGACTCCTTTGCTGTGGCTGTGTTGGCCCTCAACGTGGTACGGTTGCCCTGCGGGGGCCTTGAGACCTGCTTGATTAACTCGCGTGGCACAGCAGGAACCGTCTGTTTCATCCTTGCTTTTTGGGGTAATGCGTGACGGAAAGGGTCCATTTTTCTTTTCCTATCTCATCCAAAGCATCTTCTAAATTCCCCGCTTCCGTCCCTTCCTGCCTCCCGAGAGATTTGGGGCCCAAAGAGACAAAGGTGCCTGGTCTTCTTCGCCCTTCCTTCCAAAATCGCCTTCCGATTTCTTCCCCTCTCCAATTTCTGAATTTCTCTGCACTGCGGCGACCCTATGGGGAAGCATCCGATCACTTGTTTTGTTTTTTTCCATTGGAGATCCAATCTGAATAACAGGTGGGCTGGTGAAGGAGGGGAAGATTACTTATTAATTTATTTTGAAATTGTGAATATGTCTTTGGAGAGAGGAAGCCATGAGTGTTTAATGCAGTAATATTTTTAAAATAAACCACTATCCCACTAATCCGTGTTCGCGTCTTTATTTCTTTCAGCTTCTGCTGAGATGTCTTAGCTGGGAATTCATGAAGCACGGAGCCATTTAATGCAGGGCTGGGGAGCTCTGGCCCCTTTAAGACCTGGGGACTTCAACTCAGCATGAGTTCAGCTCAGGAATTCTGGGAGTTGAAGTCCACAGGTCTTAAAAGGGGCCAGAGCTCCCCAGCCCTGCATTAAATGAAGCGTTAGGCTAAATTTTTATCATGCATTTTGCTAAAAAGTCATGTGAACCAGAATATGAGAAGCTGGAGAATGCGATTCCTTGGATGGGTAGTAGATAAATACGTTACTGTCAATACTCCTGATTCTTTTTTCTATCCTCTTTGCTGCCACATATTTTGGACAAATAAAGGCACTGTAGTCAGTTTCCATAATTAATTGTTTCTCAGACTTCACAACTTTTAAGGTGTGTAACTCACAGAATTCCCCAGTCATTATGCTAATGAGCTTTAAAGATATCTGGACTTCATCTCCCAGAATTCCCCAGTCAGCATGCTCTTGAACTGGAAAAATGGGTGGACTATAATTCCCAGAATTCCCCAGTCATGCAATTCAGCTTGAAAAGAGGTGGACTTCAGTTCCCAGGATTCTGGGAGTTGAAGTCCACTCATCTAAAAGGTGCTGTGGTTGACAAACTCCATCCTTTTATCTTTAGGACCTCTCAGGTACTTGGAGCTTTCTGGTAGGGGATCTTGTTTTGAGGATCAAGTTTGACATTGGTGTCATCTCCTGGATCGCATCTACCTGCCACAACCAACCACTTTCTCTTTTTTTTAATTAGAAAATGGCAGATGCCAAAGGTACAAAACAACTCATGTACAAAAGTACCCATAATCCAAAGCTGGAAGTTACTCAAGATTTGGTACCCCCACCCAAAATGGATCTCTTGAGAAATCTGCTCCGTGCACAGCAGACCTTGCTGGAGCTTCAAGATAAGCTTCTTTCTCCAAAGGTCAGTAGATGCCACCTGAGCAGTCACGGCCACAGGTTGATGTCCTACCTCTTTGCATGGATGGATGATCCTACTTTGAGGAAAGTCAGCCCCATCTTTACACTGGGACTACTCCAAGGTGGTTCAACAGACCTAAATCCAAGCTATCTTCCCGTAGTTGTAGGGATCTTCTGGATCTCCTGATCTGGAGCCCATCTCTGAGCAAATGTAGGCACAAGGAACGCAACTTCTTGAAGTCCAGAAGAAGCTGGTCCAACTCCTAGGAGCCCATTTTTTCCTAGAGGACTCTTGACCTTGGTTGATTGCAGCGTCCCCGTCCTCCAACCTCCTCTACGTGGGGGGCGGACCCTCGTATTTTAGCATGAGGTGGAAGGATTTGGCAAAGCCGTTGGCCTGGAGGCAGGGGGGCTGGGAGAGGGGCAGGAAAGAGGACTGGCACAGCAGCCACACCAGCACCGCCAACATCGTGGTCAAGAGTAGCCAGAGGACGGAGGCGCTGCAGAGCTTCTGGGGCTGGGCACAGATCCCGGTGGGCAGCTGCAGGTCACATCTGGAGAAAGAACAGGGGGAGACGGTTTCAAGCTTAGATTTCAGATGGGCCACGAAGTACAGATATCCTCAACTTACAATCATTCGTTTAGTGGCCGTTCCAAGTTACAACGGCACTGAAAAGAGTGACTTTTGATGGTTTTCTCACGACCGTTGCAGCATCCCCAGGAGCATCACATGATCAAAATTTGGACGCTTGGCAACTGGCTCATAGTTATGATGGTCGCAGGGTCCTGGGGTCACGGGATCCCCTTTTAAGACCTTCTGATGAGCAAAATCAATGGGGAAGCCGGATTCCCTTAACTGTGTCACCAGGGGTGAAATGTAAAATGTGTTACTACCGTTTCTGTGGGCGTGGCTTGATGGGGAGGGGTAATATGACTGAGTAGGCGTGGCCAACTTTTTTTTTTTTTTTTACTTTTAAAACTTTTTTTACTTTTACTCTTCTGGCTGAAGAGGTTGTAGAAAAATGCTTTTAAAAATTAAAAAAAAGCCTCTGATGATCGCGCGGCTCAGCTGGGCATTGCGGGGGGGAGCGCAGGGATTTTTGCTACCGGTTCTCCAAACCACCTGCCGCCATCGCTACCGGATCGGGCGATCCGGTCCAAACCGGGAGCATTTCACCCCTGTGTGTTACTAACTTAACAACTGCAGGCGATTCACTTAACAACCTGTGGCAAGAAAGATCATAAAATGGGGCAAAACTCACTTAACAACTGAGTCTCGACTTAGCAACAGAAATTTTGGGCTCAATGGTGGTCAAAAGTCAAAGGTTACCTATAATCCAATCCCAACAGAATCCAGCTATTGATACACTTCAGCAACCAGAATGCAGGGACAGACCTCCCAGTTGCATTCAGACAACACGCAGCGCCTGGTTGCTAAACTAACCCATTTTTTTTCCCCCGTTTGTGCAGCACAGCGGCCGAAACAGGCCGAGTCCATAGACAATTCTTCTCAAAAACGTCTAAAAAGCCACTTACTCTTTCTCAATGGTAACCATAATTTTTGCTGACTTGGCATTTAGCGTCTTGGAGATCTAGGAAAAGATTCACAAGAGGGAAAGAAAATCAAACTTTTTTTTTTAAAACAGGTTTTAAAAGCAGGATTTGCTTTTAAATTTTCCTTTCAAAACACGGAGGGTTTTTTTTGCAGCAGAGCAAATGCAGAGCAAAGGTTGAAAGCACAAGAGAGCCGATTTGGCCTGGTGGTTAAGGCACCATGCTAGAAAGTGGGAGATGGTGAGTTCAAGTCCCACCTGAGGCCTGAAAACCAGAGGGGTGACTGTGTCCCAATCACCAGATGACAGGGAGTTCTAGTTCCTCCTCAGGCATGAAAACTGGCCAGGTGACTTTGGGCCAATCACTGGGAGGCAGTGAGTTCTAGTCTTGCCCTTGGGACGAAAGCCAACTGAGTTGAAGTCTCTCTCTCTCTCTCGGCCCAACCCACCTCACAGGATTGTTGTTATGGGGAAAGGAGGAGGAAGAAGAGGTGCTGGATATGTTCACTGCCTGTAATTATTTGTAAAAATAATAAAGACGGGATACAAACAAATACGTAATAAAAAATGTGACGGTACAACAGTTTGGGCTGCTGAATTCTGAGGCATTCATCTCCTTCGTGGGAGCTGACTGTGAGGAAGGAGAAGGCACTTTTGACATGCTCAGGAGATCTTTGCCAATTGCTTCTGTGATCTCCCAGCCAGATCTTGCCCACGTTCACTTTTGTTTCATTTTTGAATTGTCGCTGACATCGTGGATCCCAGGCCATAACCGTGGGGTGGCCTTACCCGTTGCCCCTTCCCCGACTGGCTGGTGAGGAGGTTCTGTTTGCCTTTTTTCCTGGACCATCGCTGGACCTTCCTCCCCCTTGTCTGAATTTGCAGAGGCAGCTGCAGCTCCTTGGCCGGTGGGAGCACATCCCCATGGGTTATGGAGTCCTGAAAAATGGAAGAAGAGAAGCAGCGTAGCATAAGTGAAAGTGTTGGAAGATCAGAGTTTCCACTTGGCCCTCACCTTTCCTTCTCACCTGGAAAAAGACCCACCATAAAACCTTGTAAAAAATCAGCGGGAACCACCCCAACTGTTTCAGACGTATAAGAGGGGGTGATGGAATAACAGGTCTTGTTTTGGTCTCCGCTACTCCTGTCCTCCCTGGTGGGTTTTCCACTGGATTCCCACAGCTTCTCCGCAGGGACCCTTGTCAGAAAAAATTATGTCCCCCGCCAACTTTCCAATAGTCCCCCAGCGCCTGCCAGGATCTCTCCAAGCTTCAGAGCTGAGCTTTTGCAGTGACAAAACACCCTGCGTGCAAAATCTCTCGGCTCTCAAACCGACCCTGGTGAGGATTTCATCTGTTTTGCATTATGATAGATTGATTTAATTCCTGTAGACCAATTTTAGCCCATAAATAATGCACTGTGTTTATTTATTCTTTTAAAGTTTATATATAAGGTAGTCCTTGACTTATGGCCACAATTGGCCCCCAAATTTCAGTTGCTAAGTGACTGAACCTTGCAAGTTCTGACTCTGCTTCACCTGATGAATAGCGTACCTCTTTGATCTCCGGAGGGATTCCCATTTGGTTCTGGCAGTTCTGGTCCAGCCAGGTCTCAATGCGTTTGGGATCAAACCGTGTGGCTTCGAGGGGTGGGCAGCAGACCCCTGTCCTGGGCAGCTGAGCAGCTCCTGGCTCCTGAGAGGTGGGAGGTCCTACCCAAAAGAACAACAAAGTGGAAAGGGGCCCCAAAATGAAATTTTTGACCTGCAAGCCAAAGAAACTTCAGCAACTATCAGAAAAATAAACTTGCTTAAGCTTTTTAAGCAATTTCCAGCTCCAGATCCAGCCGGATCACACTGTTGGCTGTGGAGGATGGACGCTGTGATCCCAGCGGAACCGGAAGGTGCCCCATTGGCTCTGAATCAGAGTCATCTTATAGGGCAGATAGGCTGCATAAAAAAATTAATAAATATCTATAAATAAATAAACCAGCAGCTTTCAGAGGCACTTCAGCAAAAAATGTAGGCTAGGAAACAGCACAGGGTGTCCTCATTTAGCGACTGCCACTGTTCAGAGTGATGGTTGTCACTTTGCAACTGATCCTTGGAGGAGCTTGTATGAGCTTTGCAAGTCTGTAAAGCGAAGGAAATTTTGAAGGCAGATCTTTCAGCACTGTCGTGTTTCCTTTGGCGATTGCTTTGCTTAACGACTGAGCGGCTGGTTCCTATTGTGGTCACTAAAGGAGGACTCGCTGTACATAATTTGGGGAGTGGATCAACAGTTAACAACATGCCGACTTTTGCAAGAACACAGAACCGGGGACTTAAATGTGTGACCCGGCTACTTTTTTTTAAAAAGTACCTTTTAAAAGGAAGATCCTGAACTCACCCAAAACATCTGTTTCCATCAGATGAGCCCCAGGCTCCCCCTCCTCTGGGAAACTGCTCTGCACCTGCACGATCGGCAGAGAATGGAGAACACATGCCAAGCACACGCTTAGAAAGGGGCGCCTGGATCTCCTCCCCCCCCCCCCACAACCCACAAAAGATCTTCCCAACTGGACAGTTTGTTTGCAGGAGTCCTCGACGTACGACTGCAACGGAGCCCAACATTTCTGTGGCTAAGCAAGACGGTTATTCAATGAGTTTTCACCCATTTTACAACCTTGCTTGCCACAATGGTTAAGTGAATCACTGCTCTGGAATGATTAATTGATTGACTGATTGATTAGAGTTGCGTTGCAATTGCAGGAAAGGGCCCTTGCTAGGAATGATGCTGTAAGCTGCCCGGAGGATGTGAGTTGGGTAGCTTTATAAATTTATTTCCCAAATAAATAATAAAGGCAGGTGGTCCTCGACTTACGACCACAATTTCTGTTGCTGAGTGAGACATTTGTTAAGTGAGTTTTGTCCCACTTTACGACCTTTCCTGCCACTGTTGTTAAGTGAATCGCTGTGGCTGTTAAGTTAGTATCCCGGTTGTTAAGTGAATCTGGCTTCCCCATTGACATTGTTTGGCAGAAGGTCACAAAAGGGGACACTGCAACCGTCATAAATAGGAGTCAGTTGTCAAGTGCCCCGATGTGGATCCCGTGTCCCTGGGGACGTTGCAACGGCCATAACTGTGAAAAATGATCCTAAGTCACTTTTTTCAGTGCCGTTGTAACTTTGAACGGTCACTAACTGAGCTCCTGTAAGTCGAGGACTACCTGTAAAAAGACTATTAGTCAAAGGAAGCCTCTCCTATCAGTGGCAGTCTACCTGTCTTTTTGAAAGACAAGTCCTGGCCAACCTAGAGCATTTCTTCCGCAAAGCAACATCTGGTCACCCTGGTTCGTTTCCAGTACCAGCCCAGGACTCGCCCCCCCCCACTTCCCCCCAATTCCTCCTTTTCCTCTGATACCCACCGAAAAGTCTTCCGTTCTGCCCCAGCTCCAGCGCCAAGAACGGCTCCTTCGCCGAAGATGGTCCCCTCGGCCAAAGCCTACGAGACAAAAAAAATATATATCTTTTTGCCCCCTGAATTTATGGGGAGGGGGCATAATCTAAGACCTTGGGGAGGGGGCTGCAGGGGTCTCTGCAATGAAAACACAGAAATGGGTGCTTGATAGACGGGGAGAAATCATCCCATCTTATTCTCTCTATTCCATATCAAAGGAAAAGTACAGAGAGAGAGAGACTGCCACGGAGCCCAAAGTTTATGTCGCTAAGCAAGACCGTTGTTAAGTGGATTTTGCCCCGTTTTACAACCTTCCTTGCCACCGTTGTTAAGTGAATCACTGCCGTTGTTAAGTTAGTACAGGTAGTCCTTGACCGGTAACAGCTTTAGTGACCGTCCGATGCTACAATAGCATCGGACAGGGGTGGGGTGGGTGGGGCAAAAGCCCTACTAAGCAGGTATATACAAAAGTATGAAGGCTATTGCTTAATGCATTGTAAGCTGCTCTGAGTCTCCGGAGAAGGGCGGCATATAAATCGAACCAATAAATAAATAAATAAATAAATAAATAAATAAATAAATAAATAAATAAATAAATAAATAAACTGTGGGAAGAACGGTCGTGAAATGGGGCCAAACTCACTTAACAACAGAAATCTGGGGGTCATTGGTGGTTGTAAGTGGAAGACTATCGGTAAGATGGTCGTTAAGTGAATCTGGCTTCCCCATTGGCTTTGCTTGTCAGAAGGTCGCAAAAACTGATCACCGGGACATGGCAACCGTCATAAGTCCATGCCAGTTGCCAAGCCTCTGAATCCTGATCATGTGACCCCAGGGATGTTGCAACGGTCATAAGTGTGAAAAACGGTCATGGGACACTTTTTTTTAGTGCCGTTGTAACTTTGAGCTGGTTGTAATCATGGCCTCTCTGCATTGAACAGGTATACCAGGTTCTCCCGGCCCCCACCTACCCACAACGGCACTGTAATACGATGAATCTTCATCCTGCGAGGTGGACCCCCCCACGTCCACCGAGGGGTCCCACTCCAGATCTGCAGCCGAGGACTCCCCGACGAGAACTCTGCAACACCGGGCTGGTTTCGGGGTGGAGTGGCCCCAAAGAGCCTCGGGAGTCAAGGCAGCGGGTTCAGGGTCCCCCGTGCGAAACGCCAGCGATTCCTCCGTGAAGCAGTCCGACTCCATGTCGCTGTCGCGGTCCGACTCCCACTGGTCCTCAAAGACCTGGAGACAGGATGGACATACCCAGATAACGGCCTCGGCCTCCGTGGGACAAAGCCACCTGGGCACCTGGCAATGCTCCCCAGTTAAACTCCCTTGTGGAGACCCAGGACTGGATGCAAGATTCCAAGGATGGTCTTACCAACGCAAGAAGGAGAAGAAGAAGGAAGAGAAGGAAGAAGAAAGGTGGAGGAGGAGGAGGAGGAGGAGGAGGAAGAAGAAGAAGAAGGAGGAGGAGGAGGAGGAGGAGGAGGAGGAGGGGAGGAGGAGGAGGAGGAGGAGGAGGAGGAGGAGGAGGAGGAGGAGGAAGGAGAAGGAGGAGGAGGAAGAGGAGGAGGAGGAAGAAGAAGAAGAAGAAGAAGAAGGAGAAGGAGGAGGAGGAGGAAGAAGAAGAAGGAGGAGGAGGAAGAAGGAGAAGGAGGAGGAGGAGGAGAGGAGGAGGAGGAGGAGGAAGAGGAGAAGAGGAGGAGGAGGAAGAGGAGGAGAAGGAGAAGGAGAAGAAGGAGAAGAAGAAGGAGGAGGAGGAAGAAGAAGAAGGAAGAGAAGGAAGAAGAAAGGAGGAGGAGGAGGAGGAGGAGGAGGAGGAGGAGGAGGAGGAGGAGGAGGAGGAGGAGGAGGAGGAGGAAGACTTCACGTGAGATGCTTGACATACCAGCCTCATGCTGACCAGGCGCCGCTGAAACTGGAACACTCTGGACAAGACCGCTTGGTGGAACCCAATCAGCTCCTTCAGGTCTTCCTCCAAGATCTCAGCATCCTCCGGCTGGCTCTTCTGGATCAAATTCTCAGCGCAGACCACGAGATGATCCACGTGTTCCGTGTTGGTCTGGACGTCTTGCTGGAACGCCTGGACATCAAGGAGAGGACCCGGATCAATTTTCTGCATGGACATCTTCACCTCATGCACCCCTCTGCTGGGCCCAAACCCCACCCTGAATTTGGGAGTCAGCAAATGGGAGAAGCCACTTTACCCTTTGTTCAATGCCAAGTTCCTAGTCCTCATGATTGTTGGTGCCGGGGTGCAGCTTCCTTTAGTCTAAAATCAGTGTTTCTCAACCTTGAAGATGGGTGGACTTTCAATTCTGAGATTCTGGAAAGGTGACTGGGCAATTCTGGGAGTTGAAAGTCCACTCGTCTTCAAGGGGCTAAGGTTGAGGAGCACTGCTCTAGAGTAGAAGCTACTAAACGCAGGGAACTCCTGTGATTTTTGGCTGAGGAATTCTGGGAGCTGAAGTTCACATCTCTTAAAGTTGCTGAGATGGAGTCTACAGTCCTTTCCTGGATGCTGACAAAATAACTGAGAAACATCTCAGGGTATTTTGCCTCCAGAGCTGGAAAATCCTCCGAAGGAAGCCAAATCCCAAGTGAGGATTCCAGTCCAGAGCTTAGAAAAATTGAATGAACCTTTAGGAAAAAAACCAGGAACCAGGAAAGGTGAAGCAGTGAAGCACCTGATTACCTTTCCGATGGACCCAGGATCCATTTTACCTGCAGTTGTATCATTTTCTCCAGCGGCGTCCCTCCGGAGAAGTGCTCGACGTCTGTCAGCCGCAGGTCCAGTTCCATCAGTCGCACCTGGATGGTCTCCTTCTTCAGTCCAAACTTCTCCCATTGACTGACAAAATGCTGAGGGAGAATCCAGAGCCGATGAAAACACGCTGCTCCTCATCCTCCCAGCCAAGAGGGACTTCAAGGAAGAGAAGCTCTGTAGCTCAGGGTTGAACTGTGGGGCCCTGGCTGCTCTCTGAGCTCGACTGCTTCCTTGCAGACGTTCCATGACCCAACTAGGGAACATCATCAGTGCTAGACGGGAGGAGGAGGAGGAGGAGGAGAAAGAAGATGGGGGGGGGGTCTTTGGTGCTCTCTGAGCTTGACTGCTTTCTTGCAGATGTTCCATGACCCAACTAAGTAACATCATCAGTGATAGACGGGAGGAGGAGGAGGAGCAGGAGGAGGAGGAGGAGGAGGAGGAGGAGGAGGAGGAAGACGACCGGGGGTGGTCTTTGGTGCTCTCTGAGCTTGACTGCTTTCTTGCAGACGTTCCATGACCCAACTAGGGAACATCATCAGTGCTAGACGGGAGGAGGAGGAGGAGGAGAAGAACTGTGAGGTCCTTGATGCTCTCTGAGCTTGGCCATATTCTTGCAGACATTTCATTACCTGACTAGGTTACATCATCAGTGGTAGAAAGGAGAGGAGTCTGTGGAGAGGATGAGGAGAAGGACTTGGGGTCCCTGGCGTCTAAGAGGACATCAGGGTTGTTTCTTGCAAACATTTCATTATCCGACTAGGTAACATCATCAGCGCTAGAAGGAAATGTATATAAGCAGAGAGCAACCCCCATTCTCTTCTAGCACTGATGATGTTCCCCACTTGGGTCATGAAATATCTGCAAAAAACCACAAGTTCACAGAGGACCAAGCGCCCCCCAGAGGTCTAAGAGACGTCTAAGGTTTGGTGGGCAGCACCGTCACTAAGGGGTCATGTCCAAACATGACCCCCACTCCAGAGCTGGCCGAGACCAACCCACGGCACCAAGGAGACCCTCCTTCTCTTCCGAATCATGGCTCCACCCAGCTCACCTGAAGTCTCCTGGAAACAGCAGCCGCTCGTGTCCGCAATTCCTCCCAGCGCCAGTTGACCTCCTGCACGGAGCACTTCAGGCGTGGACTGATGTTCCCCATCCACACCAGCTGGCGGTACTGCCTGTTCAAGGACTCCAAAGACCATACCTTCTCCGAGATGTCCTTCTGCAATGCCTGGGCAGGGAATCCCAGAAGAGTTCAGATCAGCAGCATGGAAGAGTTTGCCCAAACATGGTTGGCTGGACCCCGGGAATTTAATTCCAACTTTCTAGTTCATATCACTTCTGCATCGCTCATCCACCAACCTGCCAGCTTTGCCACAGAAGATCTGTGGACTTCAATTCTGGGAATTGAAGTCCACAAGTCTTAAAAGTTCCCAGATTGGACCCTTCGTGGTACAGGATCTCCTGCCTGAGTAGGGGGTTGGACTAGAAGATCTCCAAGGTCCCTTCCGACCTTCTTCTCCTATTTCTACCTCTGGGGCCCTCGGTTCGCAGCCTCTTTCTTGCATTTTGATTCCGATTTCACGCCTCGCCAAACACATTCAGAGCAGGGAACACAAAGCTGCCTCTGTGTCTCTCCACAAAGGTGTACCCAGGCCTCTCAATGCCACGTTTGTTTGCTGTGACTTTTGGCTCCTGGTGATTTTTGGCCATCAAAAGAGCTGCGTTTATCTCGGGGATCTCTGCAGATCCGGAGAGCTACCCAACCCTTCCTCGCCAGGGAGAAAGGGGAGCCCGTAAATTTCCCAGGATGGCTTTCTTTGATTTATTCTATTTATTGATTCCATTGATACACACGGACACGCATCCCTTTCTCTCGCTCCCTTTCTCTCCCCTTCGTTTCCTATTTCTGCTCGGTTTTTTTTCTTTGTACTTTATACCATAAAACGAATTTTTTAAAAAATTGAGATAAATTTATACTGCCGCCCCCCCCTCAAATGAACGACTCTGTGTAGCTAACAACAAATGTGAAAATACTACGAGTAACAATGTAATTACAAGTAGTCCTCCACTCTACAATAGCTCACTTAGTGACCATTCAAAGTTACAACCGCAGTGACCAAAGCAAATGACTATTTTTCACAGTTAACCCCCTTCCAGCACTGAGGATGCAGCAACCCTAACCCTATGCCTGACTAGGTGGCTCAGTGGCTAAGACACTGAGCTTGTCGATCAGAAAGGTCGCCAGTTCGGCAGTTCGAATCCCTAGTACAGGTCTCCTGTGTGAGCACGGGGTTGGACTAGATGACCTCCAAGGTCCCTTCCACCTCTGTTACTGGGTAACATAGTCCCATATTGACCCATAGTCACAGGGTCAAATTTCAGACACTTGGCAAGTGATTCATATTTACGACGGTCGCAGTGTCCGAGGGTCATGTGACCCCCTTTTGCGACCTTCTGGCAAGCAAAGTCAATGGGGAAGCCAGATTCACTTAACAACGGGGCTGTTAACTTATCAAGTGCAATGATTCACTTAACAACTGTGGCCAGAATGGTCGTAAAAGGGGGCAAAACTCACTTAACCAATGTCTTCCTTAACCACAGAAATTTTGGCTCAATTGTAGCCTTTAAGTCGAGGACTTCCTGTAATTATTTTTTTAAAAAAATATGTTTATTTTTTTTTAAATATGTGATTTAAAAATATACATTTAGTTTTTAAAAGGTTTTAAAAACGTGTTTAATTTAAAAAAAGGGGTTTACCCTATTTTAAATTTTAAAAAGATACTTAACCCTTAACTTTAAAAATCGTTATAGAAATACATTTTCTTTTTAAAAGTTTTTTTTTATTAAAAAGACGTACTTTTGATTTTGATAAACAGAAAGACTGAAAGAGCCAAAACAAATGACCCCCATAAAACAAGCAGCCAGAGTATTTGTTATCTTGGCAACAAGTCAGCTTGGGAGGAGATGGGCAGCAAAAAAATTTCATAAACAATGTAAAATCCAGAAGAAGCGGAATTCTGCTTACCCGGAACCTTTGCAGCTCTTTTTTGGAGCCGGCGTAGGAGACCTGGGAGGACCTGGGAGAGGCGGCCACCCTCTCAGCCGCCTGGAGCCAGTCCTGGAAGCGGAAGACGCCGTCCTGGAGGCTCTTCTGCAGGGTCCAGGCCTCCTCCTCCCTGAGGGCAGGGCAGGGCAGGGCATGAAAGGCCGAGATGGGTACCCCCACCCACCCACCCACCCACCCAGCCCCCGTTCTTTCTTTCCTTCTGAATGGAAAAGGACGGAGTGTTTCCTGATGGGGAAAGCAGAGGCAGGCGGGTCACGAACACCAGCCCAGCAAGAGGGGTGGCTCTTAAAAGGTGCCCTTCCCCACACAAGGAGATGGATCAGAAAAGGAAAAGAGGTATCCATCCATCCATCCATCCATCCATCCATCCATCCATCCATCCATCTATCTATCTATCTATCTATCTATCTATCTATCTATCTATCTATCTATCTATCTATCTTTGTTATTATCTAGCTATCACCTAGCTATCATCTATTGATCTCTCCTTATGTACAATTAAAGCATATACACCAAAGACAAATTTCTTGTATGTCCAATCACACTTGGCCAGTAAAGAATTCAATTCAATTCAATTCAATTCAATTCAGTTCAGTTCTGTTCTGTTCTGTTCTGTTCTGTTCTGTTCTGTTCTATTCTATTCTATTGTCTATCCACTCTTATCTATATCTATCTATCTATCTATCTATCTATCTATCTATCTATCTATCTATCTATCTAACATCATCTATCTGACATCATCTATTTATCATCTATTACCTATCTATCTACCATCCACCCATCCATCTCTCTCTCTCTCTCTTCTGCATACTCCTCTCAAGGTATTTCATCCATGGTCTGCCAGCTCAGTATGAAACTCGGCTGATGGATGTGCAGGCATAAACCTAGAAATCCTTGCCACTCTTTCTAGCACAATTAATTTCATGCACTGCATTTATTATAGCTATGCACTCCAACAATTCTGGATGGTTTACATAATCCAATCCAAGATAAAATAATTAAAAACATAAATAAAACCAGGCAGCCTGGACTGAAAGCAGGTAATAAAACACTGTGTGGCAGCCCTTCTCATCCAAAAAAGTATATTAAGCCCAGGCTTGGCACCAAAGCCGGGCTTTAGGAGCGTTTCAGAACCTCAAACACCAAAGCACATTCCTTTCTATGATTGTTGCACATTCTGCGCCTGCTTACTCTCTTACAATCCCTTTCTCTCCAATAAATATAAACACAAACATTAATTCCCTTCATGCTAATTATCCCAGCATTCCCAAAGGCAGAGGAATGAAGAAATGGAAAGCACCACTGCAGTCATGTGATTTTTCCATTTAGTGACCACTTCACTTAACAACTGTCGGTCCCAATTGTGGTTGCTAAACGAGGACTCCTTGTTCTCCTAAGAAGCTCATTCCCCTCACCTTATCCGTTTCTCTACAGTCACCATGCAAAGGTTGCAAGCAGCATTTAGTGGCATCATCGGCTCCCCAGACCATCTGCGGCATTTCTGCTTATCCGGGAAAAGGTCAAAATTCACAGCTCCTCCCTGCATCCCAAATGTTGGTTTCAGCCTTGTGGCTCCGTGGTAGAAGATGCCCCAAAACTCCCCTTGAGATGTCCGAGGGCTGGAGAAAACCCCAAATGCCTCCGGTTTGTTCCAGTGGCTTGGAAGAAGGTAAAATCCTCTCGCCAGCCTTATCTGGAGAATCCCATTCAGACTTCTAGAAAACAAAAGGAAAGAAAATGTGAAAGAAAGAAAGAAAGAAAGAAAGAAAGAAAGAAAGAAAGAAAGAAGCCAGCGTCAGAAGAGCTCTTAAGAGCGAAGCAGGCTTTTTCAGGCAGACTTTGACAATATATATCGATTTTTAGCATTTTGCCCTCCAAATGAATCACGCACCAACTTTGCTAAAGTTTCGATCCATGCTAAAGAGGTGATTATTCCCTTTGCAATTAGAGATCCCGGAATACCTGTTTTTATTGCCTGTGATCTGCTTTATGGCATGCAAATCTACTTTTAATGTTGCACAGCCTTGAAGGTGCATGGCGCTGAATGAATAAATAACACCAGTCACAACATGGGTGTGCACAGACTGCATTTATCTAACAAAGCACATGGGGCACGTGCGGAGTGTATTTATATAACTGCAGCTCATCTGGCTCCAGGGGAGAACAGCCACTTCCCTCAAAAAGGTGTGTGCAAACATTCTTCTTTCTTTCTGACTTCTTCGCTTTATAATTTATATTCAGGGTTTGTTCCCTGTATGCATGCTTTTGTTTAAGCAGGAAAAATAGCCCTGCATTTTCGCAAACCCTTATTTTTTCCCCAAAAATTCCATCTCCCTCCCACTGCTGTTATTCTGAAAAAATAACAACAACAACAACAACAACAACAACCTGCCACATAACACCCCAGAATTAACAACTGTTAAGAAGGAAGACAAAAAAATCTGGGTAATGCTTGGAGACAACGGAAGAGAAGAGGAAGAACTGGAGAAGATCACAAATGGAAGTAGAATGACTGCAGCCCTTGGGTGCAATCCCAAAACATCTGGAGCGCCACTTGAACCTCATCGGCATTGACAAATTCACCATCAGTCAATTGCAAAAGGCAGCTTGACTTGGAACTGCTTCCATCCTGTCACAAGACCTGTAACACCATCAAACATCCACATCTGCCTATCCCAGGTCCATGGGAAGGACTCGATAGGTAGACAAACATGCTAAAGGCAATCTGAACATCTGGCTGACTGTGCAACCAACTGTATTCAGAGCCCTTCAATTTTGGGTAATAGACTTGAATTTTCTGGAGGGGTAAAATTCTTTAATGCACTCTGGAAAACTGTATCTGGATTTTGCAGTTTTGTAAACCTTGGTTGTTCGGCCAGCCCCGAGCTCTGTTGACTATAATTGCACAGATTGCTGGTTTATGAAGCTTCATACTCCATGCAATTTGCAAAACATCTGGATGGAATATCTATGGAGACTCTCGATCGTCTAGGTTGTGGTTGTCCCAAAGGTGCTTTCCCCTCCCCACCCCCCAAAAAAAAGACAAATGGACTTTTGGCTTTTTTCTTTGAAAATGTTTCCCTGCTGATCCAAGAAGCTTCTTCAGTTCAGGTTCTTTGAGGTCATCCAGACTTTCCGCCTGTTTTGTGCAGGTTTGAACAATCCCTGACCAATAGCTGTGGAGGCTTTGCTTGAAATTACCCAGGGAAAGGGAAAGGAGGGAGGGAGGAAGGGAAAGGAAGGAAAGAAAGAAAGGAAGGAAGGAAGGAAGGAGAAGCAAAGGAAGGAATATAGAGAGAATGGGTGAATTAATGGATGGATGGATGGATGGATGGATGGATGGAAGAAGGGAGGAAGGAAGGAAGGAAATGAAAAGAAAGGAAGGGGGGAGGGAAGCCTTTCTCCCAATTTATCCAATTGCTTTTATAATTACGAAATTCTCCTTAACTTTCCACTGGAATCATCCTTTCTCTAATGTCTATTACTCCATCCCTCAGCAGCCTCTGAGCATGTACAGAGTGCACCTTGCCTACCTACCCCTGAGCAACCTGCCCATCTCCTGCTGGGGCATTTTTTTCAAGTCCCTGAAAGTACCAGACGCCCCTGAATAACACAATCACCCTTGCTAAAAGTCCACCTTTCATTCAGTCCTGTCTTTTCCGAGGCCAGAGCCCTGCGACCCACCAGCCTTCAAAGAAAAATACTTATTTTTACTGATATATCATTTTTAGAAATCACCTGTCCCCTTCCCAGAGCACGCTTGTGTGTGTATGTGTGTGTGTGTGGGAGAGAGAGAGAGAATCCCAGTCCCTCTTAATGTGTCCATCAATCACCTGTCACTTCAACCTGCAGCCCCGCCTTGCACGGATCATCGAGACAAGGAGGTTGAATTTTCACGGTGCTCAATTTTCAGCCCTGCAGCTTTTGCAAACTCACTCCCACGATCAAAAGAACCCGTGTGAGAGAAAAGGGCTGGCACCGAGACTTTGCAACATCCCTGGCAGGTTGCTGCCTCCCCCCCCGCCCAAGGCTCAGAAGAGACCCCAACTTCAGGCAGCCCAGCAATCCCCCCCCCTCCCGAAAGGGAAACTCTGAATCTACCTGCCATCCAGAAGCCGGGATCCTCTCTCTGAGCTGCTGCATTTCCCCTGCCTGTCAATCATTAAACGGTTGACAAACAAGGACTGGGACAGAGAGCGCCATCCTCTTCCTCCTTGGCCAACGTGACGGAAAACAGGTGTGCAAATGCGCAGCGCAGGCTTGGCGGGGGAAACCTGAAAAAGCCCGCCTGGCCAGGTTTGCTCCTTCTGCTCTTCAAGCAAAGAGCGGTTCTCCACCTCACCTGCGCCAGGAAGGCGAGCAGGGAGGGTTGGCAGGTAACTCTATTCTCTCGGGGCGAAAGGACCTGGCCCAACCCATTTCCAGCTCTGGGTGGCAGCTGCTTCTCCAGCAGGGCACGTTGCCAAAGCCACATATGCCACCTGCCGTTTTCCAAGCCAGGGGCCTCGTCTTAGCCGCCCAGTGGGGCTGGACAGGTGAGTGCCCCACCCAGGGAAGGGACGTTCGTTGAACAAGAGCATAGAACATAGGATACTAGGGCTGGAAGAGACCTTGGAGGTCTTCTAGTCCAAGCCTCTGCTCAAGTAGGAGACTCTTACTCTACTACCTCGAACAAATGGTCATCCAGACGTTTCTTGAAGACCTCCAGTGATGGAGCATCCACAACTCCTGGAGATAAGCCGTTCCATTGGTTAATTGTTCGGTCAGGAAATTTCTCCTTAATTCCAGGTTGCTTCTCTCCTTTGTTAGTTTCCATCTGTTGCTTCTTGTCCTGCCTTGGACAATAACAGGAGTTGGAAGGGACCTTAGAGGTCTTCTAGTCCAACCCCCTGCTCAAGGCAGATCTTATATAATTCCGGACAAATGGCTGCACAATCTCTTCTTTAAAACCTCCAATGATGAAGCACCCAATACTTCTAGTGGCAAGTCATTCCACTGGTTAATTGTTCTGTCAGGAAATTTCTCCTTATTTCTAGGGTGGTTCTCTCTCTTTAATGAGTTTCCACCCACTGCTTCTTGTCCAGCCATCAGGTGCTCTGGAGCAGGGGTCTTCAACCTTGAAGCCTGGCAGACTTCAACTCCCAGAGTTCTTTTGCTGGCTGAGGAACTCTGGGAGTTGAAGTCCACAAGTCTTAAAGTTGCCAAGGTTGGAGACCCCTGCACTAGCATGCCAGCTGGGAAATTCTGGGAGTTGAAGTCCGCCAGGCTTAAAGTTGCCAAGGTTGGAGACCCCTGCACTAGCATGCCAGCTGGGAAATTCTGGGAGTTGAAGTCCGCCAGGCTTAAAGTTGCCAAGGTTGGAGACCCCTGCTTTGGAGAACAAATCCATAATAAATAGATTGACCCCCTCTTCTCTGTAATAGCCCCTCAATTATTGGAAGACAATGAACATGTCACCCTTGGTCCTTCTCTTCGTTAGAGTAGATATACCTAATCCCTTTAGTCGTTCATCGTATGGTTTAGATTCCAGACCCTTTAACACGGAGGTGTCCAAGCTTGGCAATTATTAAGACTTGTGGACTTCAAGTCCCAGAATCCCCCAGCCAGAGTTCTTCACTGCAAAACCCACATTCACATCGCAAATCTACTTGGCTTCCTTGGACAACCGTTTGTCCTGGGTGGAATAAGATCTCCTGGCTTGGGCAGAGGGTTGGACTAGAAGACCTCGGAGGCCCCTTCCAGCCCTAGGATTCTATGGTTCTAAAATTGAATCTGCAGGCTGAGGGACAATGGTCTCTCCATAGTTTGCAATTGACCCAGCCCTTTCTAAACCTCCTGGCTGGGGGATTCTGGGAGTTGTAGTCCACCTCTCTTAAAGTGGCTCAGGTTGAAAAAACTGTTAACCTGGAGCATATTTAGCTGCAAACACCACACTTCCCGAAATATGCTTTGTTTCTCCGCACCAAAAAGTCCCAACCACAGTTTAAGGAAGTACAATTCAGAAACCTGATAACCTAGAACGGTGTAAAAGTCAGGAAGACCTTCGGCCCCAAACAGCCACCAAAGCTGGGCTCCAGAGTCCAAAAAAGCAGACAAAATCATCGCAATTACACAAAACCAAACAAGGAAGCCGACGACGGACTAAAAGGTTTGCATTTTTTTTTGCATAAGCTTAAATCCTGGAGAGGAAAAATGTGACTTTCAGACGGGCAGGTGCAAATATGCTGCTCAAAAAAATAAAGGGAACACAAGCAGAAGACATCCGAGATCTGAATGAATGAAATAGCCTTATTGAATACTTTGTTCTTTACATACAGTAGTTTATACACTGCTCAAACAACTAAAGGGAACACAAAACTACTGAATGTAGCAAACAAAGTATTTAATAAGGCTATTTCATTCACTTAACAACCGTGTAACTAACTGCAATGGCTCACTTAACAACGGCAGCAAGAAAAATCATACAATGGAGCAAAACTCATTTAACAGCTGTCTTGCTTAGCAACATAAATTTTGGGCTCAATTCTGGTCGTAAGTGGAGGACTACCTGCGTTTGAAGCACCCAAGAAGAGCATTAAAATGGGCCGAGTGTGTGATTGTGATTTTTCTTTCTCCAATTTATAGTCTAACCCAGTGTTTCTCAACCTTGGAAGCTTGAAGATGGATGGACTTCAACAGTGCTGGCTGGGGGAATCTGGGAGTTGAAGTCCACCCATCTTCAAGCTTCCAAGGTTGAGAAACACTGGTCTAACCTAAAAAATGGCTAACCAAAAAATTAAAGTGCCTAAAAGGCTTGGTGGAAAGAATGATCCTCTTGGTGTTTCTGAACTACAGATCCCATTATCCTTTTCCACTAGTCACGTGGACGGATGGCTGACGGGGACATCACACAAATCAGGCGAGATGGACGCTGTAGAAATTTAATAAATAAAATAAACTTTGTCCTTCGCATGACAGAAAAGATGTTCGCAATTGGCCTCCAGGGCAGTTTGAGAAAATCTCTCTCTCTCTCTCTCTCTCTTCCTTTTTTTAAAAACAATTTTTTAAAGCCGCTTGCCCTCCTTCCTGACATAATGAATGTAATTTTCTGGGAACACCTGGAGAACAATCTTTGAAAACGTTTGAACAGCGGCCGGAGGGCAAAACCTTTGAAATCATTTCATCCTTGACCTAATTAGGAAATGCCAAATAAACTGCATACAATTCTTGGGAGTTTATTTGCATAGTTTTAGCATGCTGGGAAAAAAATAGCATTTTTTGGGCCAAGCATGCCAACGTCTGTTTGAAACTGCACTGTGTCCCATATACAGACACCCAATGTTGGTGATTTTGAGTGGGGGGGGCTCGCAGCTCTTCCCTCTCACCGCCTCCTGGGGGTGCCAGCCCTGCCATGAAAAATGCCAGTCACTTCCTCCGGCCGAGAATAATGGACGTTTTCAGCACTTTGGGGACGTGGCGGATGGTGAGAGACACCCGGGTCTGACGTGGCAACGTGTCCCCAATCCCGCAGCCACACAGACTGGCGTTAGCCACTTTCTGCGTCACGGTGTCGGTTGAGACAGGGCGGATGCCATGAAGGTAGCGCACATACATGTCTTCCTGCAAGACCAGGAGGCTGCGGGGCTTCAGAAGGAAGGAGAAAGCGTGGCGCTCCTCCTGGGTCTGCGGAGACGAATTCTGCAGAGGGAAAACGCTCACACGGTTGGAAAAAAGATCATTTACAACACCGGATGCCCAGAACCAGATTCTTCCTTTAACATCAAATGAACACCAGCCAGGAAGTCTACCCATCTTCAAGTGAAGAGGTGAGAAAAACTCTGCTCTGGAGTAGGGGCTAGAGGAAGTCCTCAATGTATAACCATTTGTTTAGTGACCATTTCTTGTGTGTCCAATCTCGGACAATAAAGAATTCTGTTCTGCTCTATTCTATTCTATATTATTCTACCAGTTGTATTGTGTTTTCTATTGTATATTATATTGTATTGTATTGTATTGTATTGTATTGTATCGTATCGTATCGTATCGTATTCTACCCTACTGGTTGCATTGTGTTTTGTGCTTTCTATTGTGTTTTCTATTGTATTGTACTGGACTGGACTGGACTATACTGTACATTCTATTCTATTCTATTCTATTCTATTCTATTCTATTCTATTCTATTCTATTCTATTCTATTCTATTCTACCGGTTGTATTCTGTGGTTTTATGTTTTGTATTGTATTCTGTTCTTCTATATTTTGTTCTACTCTATTCTGTTCTCTATTCTATTTTGCCTTCTCTTCTCTTCTCAACAGCACTGAAAAAAGTGACTTATAACTAGTTATAAACACTTACGACCATTGCAACCTCCCCATGGTCACATGATCAAAATTCAGACACTTGACAACTGACTCATATTTATGACGTTCAGTGTCCCGAGGTCACGCGATCCCCTTTTGCGTCCTTCTGACAAGCCAAGTCAATGGGGAACAACGGTGTTCCTCTGCAGCGGTTCACTTAACAGCTATGGCATGAAAAGTCGTAAAATAAGGCAAAACTCACTTAACAACTGTCTCGCTTAGCAATGGAAATTTGGAACTCCATTGGGGTCGTAAATCGAGGATTAACTGTGAAGTTGGAGGATGGTTGTGATTTTGTGTTTTGACCTCACCTCTTGGCTTCCGGGAGACGCTTCTCCGGTGACGGGGTGGTAGAAGTCCAGGAGGGTGTGTGACCCCAGATTGATGGTGGTAACGGTGGGATAATATAGCGGTCCGTCTTCGTGCGGCTGCAAGCAAACCGAGAATTAGTAAAGGACCCCCACTCTGAGATAAAAAGAGGAGGGGGAGGGGAAATGGTTACCATGATGCCCTGGCCAGGTTGGTATTCGTTCACCAAGACATGGTTGGCTGGTCTTCCTCCAAAGACCCCGAGGGAAGACACGCGATCCACATAACGCTGCAGCCAGGGGGGCAATTTCTCTGCCACCATCCCCTTCGGGTGGGGCAGCCCTCCTGCAGGGTGGGGGGGAGACACACACAGACAACGCTGAGCGCTAATTCTTGGCACCAACGGGACAGTGATTTTGATGGAAATAGAATAGACTGAATCAACTCCCCCCCTCCCCTTGCAAATGGTACATTCCAAAGAGAAAGGAACTCAATTGCCCAGAATTCCAAGGGAGCATGGGACCAAACTATGGGAATTCTGGATGTGGTAGTCCTAGCACACTGGTGGACCTCCTCCTCCTCTTTTCAAGCTCCCCTCCTTCTAGCACCGATGATGTTCCCTAGTTGGGTGATGAAATGTCTGCAAGAAAACTACCCAGCTCAGAGAACACGAAGGACCACACAGGCCTCCTCCTCCTCCTAAGCCCCATTCTCTTATAGCACTGAGGAGGTTCTCTAGTTGGGTCATGAAACGCAAGCAAAAAAATTACCAAGCTCGGAGAGCACCAAGGACCCCTCAATTCT